TTCATCTTTGGATATGTTGTAGAGACTAACAAACAAGGAACCTTTCTCATATATCGTTATCAGGATAAATGTCAATTCCGGTCAACTTGTCGCCAAAGAAGTGAAAAGCCCGCCAAATTGTTAACAACAATTTCTAGTTATTCATTGTTTATGTTTATCACTCAAAGTGTGACAAGTTGCACCATGTTTTCTAATCCTATTTGATCAGCAGGCATGCAGGCAATGTGCCGGCATACCTAAATTGCTGAAAAACTTCAATGCAGATAGAATACCAATTCAGCGCACAGATTAGTCACTATGTTTTTATGCCTTCGGATCGAAAGGTCGGGGTTATATTATTTTTATGCTATCTGTTTGTATACTTCTTTGTCTGTTTTAACCTTGAACCTTATCCATAACTATTGCACTATAAGAGGAACGCGCCTTGAATTCCTAATAATTCACAGTTTTCGTTCATTATCTATACAACGGGTGCACACATTGAACGATTTGAAGTTTTGTTCATTATCTAAGTATACATGCACATTTTGTGCATAAGTGTGAGTTCAGATCACGATAAAGACATAAGTGTTTCTCCCACTTCAGAATTTTTAGTTGCAACCGTGGGTATAGTGCTTTATAAACACATCTTGTTATTTTCTTATATCAGACATCACAACATTACTGAAACACATGTCATGCATAAAATCTATCACGCATGGTTGAAGTGAACAGAAATATATCCTGTGTTTTGACGCTGAAAGATTGCATCCATTGTATTGACATTACACAAGAAATGCATCTTCCCATTGTTCCGCACTTTACTAATGCTTAATACTACATCCTGTTGTGGTTAAGCATTATATATCATGTCTCTCTCTATAACTCACAAAAGGCAAAAAAGGATAACAACACAGCTGTTCATCATTTAGAATCATAATGTAACTGATATATCTAATTGTCATCTGGAAATAAAACATCGTTATATCGTAAAGTGAAGATAGAATGAAATCCTCAAGTAGTATATACAAACCCATTACTGGCGTGACCTGATGTCGTATTACGTGCACTCCTAGTACCGCCGTCAATCAACAGATACATGTGGTCGTATTTTTGTATATAAGTTGCTAGTATTATAATGTGTCTAGATTTTGTTTTCAACAGTATAGTGAATGGACGAATCATTAGTATGGAGTTGTTTGTCAGACGTTAACAGAATGAATGATGTACATTACATAATATCATTGATTTTTCATACATTTTGCTAAGAAAAAAGTATTAAAAACTCGCTGAAAAAATCCATAAAAACAAAGCAAATGAAAACAAAGGAAATTCCAAAAGAACTAGTGATTTACAAGCTGAAAATTAACAACAAAATGACTGAAAGAATCAGAATAAATGGAAAATTGGTTACCGTCTTTGGATATCATATTGTTTAAAAATGTCAATTAGTAGGAGAATAGACGACGATTGAGTTTGGCGAGGTATCCTTGTCAATCACGAGTATTGTCCTGACTTTAACACAACCCTTAAAAAACTGGCATCTTTATATTGCTTTTTATCATATTATATGTACAGCGAGTAATGTTACGTACGAAAGCCGGCAAGGGTCATCGAGTAGAAAAATCATATTGTTTTAAGGACTTTATATCTCGCAATAATGATTAAGATATGTCGTTATAACAACTGATTATTTCCCCCTTGACCCTTACTGGCTTCCGTAAAATGTTGAACGTAAGCGTGTTTGAAATGAATATAGAATGAAGGCAATGTGGAATGTTAATAAAGGGTGTTGAAGTAAAACATGTAATTCATTGATAAATTTCAAACTAGTCTTAAAGTACATTGTGCTTTACAGCTTATGTGTATACAAGCACATCTTAAATGTTCACAGGTGATACGTAACTTTTTAAAAAGCTGGCTGTATAGAACACTGTTCAAAGCAGTAGTACAAACACTCCATCAAAAAGCACAGGATTAATACACGATATGATGTCAACACATGTCAGTGAAATCAATATACTGAATCAAATAAATCCGAAAACAAATCGACAGCTTAAAAATCACCAGTATCTCAAAGGATAGAGAAGGAGTGTTCAGAGACATTGGTTTAAAGACAGAAGAAAATCTTTAATCAGGATGCTAAACGTGTGAAACATGAGCTTACAATAGCGAGGTAGAGGGTTCAGTAAGGACTGCTTCAAAGGGCGATAGAACAATGGTGAACTTGTGTTATGCTAAGTATTACAACATTTCATTTTTTTCTAATTCAGCAGGAATAAATTTAGAAGTTTTCGGTCATTGACATTGATATTCCATTCTTTACCTAAAAGTAACAACGAGTTTCTATACAACACGTTCATAGGCTAGTTTTAATATTGTATAGCTAAGTGATTGTGATTGCATTATCCATGTGAACTAACGACAAATATTCACATGGGGGCACTAAAAAGTGTAAGACCAGGGGTTTCTGCTTCATCCACAACATCCGTCATGTAATTACATTTTCACGCTCTAAATTGAAAACAAGTTTAACAACAACGGAACCACTAACAGGCATCGAAAACATCCAAATTCACTGGGAAATGTTTTCCGAATGAGACAATTGTGACAATCATAGGGTTTTCCGAGTCTTCATCAACCTACTTCTCTCGAATACTGGTGTGATTTTATCTGTCAACTGGCGATACATATAAAGTTTTATTTAGGAAAATCCTAAATAAGAAAATCGAATCCAACGCTTATCATTGAGTTTGATGAGAAGCCTGCGAACATTAGATACTATACGATAGACTTGGTCAATAAAGTTCTTTTATTGGAAGACAATGCATCGATACATCAAAAAGTGGAATGGAATGACTAAATGAAAAGTCTTTTGTCCTGTTTTGATAAGCGCTTCTGTCAATTTTGCCTCGTACGATAATCTTAACATTTCAGTCATGAGAGGATACAAAGGTCAACAGTTTGTTAGAAGAAATTTGCAAATTTTGAGCACTACACATACATTTGTTCATTCATTATTAAATCTAATGCCACAGAGTGTCTCCCTTTGGTGGCTACTGTGCTTGTATCTCCATAAATGTACCTGTATGATTTTAACTTCACTGAGGAGTGTTTTATAGGGATTATGATTCTCTATCCTACGAATGATAGGAACTTTACCAGGTGGATCATACACACGTTTAAAAATAATCGGTGTTTAAATCTTAAGCAATAAAACATATGCAGACCCCTTTCTTCCGATTTTTTTTCCGTATTGCTCTTTCTGTAAGAAATATCAATGATATTGTAAAAAGTTTAATCTATCTCCTAGTGAATAGAATGTACAAATCAAGAACGGAGTAAGGCAACAAGTTAGATCTTCAACATCACTGGCGACTGTAACCCTATGGAAGGGTTATCTGCCCTTATTTTAAGGGAAATACAGAGTTATCTGCCTTGAGTATCATACTGGGTTATTTGCCCTTGTTTATATCACCTATTGGTCTTTGATGAAATAATTTTATATATTTAATATATGTACCGTTAGGTAATGTGTTATTTGTTTATGAATATGATATTAGTAATTTGTGTATAGGTGTATATAGGATGTTACAGAGTATACATGATACCGATGTATGTTTGATAATACTGTTAGTGCTCTGTAGGGTACAGATATTAAGGTCACTGAACTATGCAGTACTGTTGTTGCTGGTGCAGGTGCAGGTGCAGTAAACGCGTGATAGTTAATACCTGAAATGCTGACAAATGTTTATGTGACGGAATTTTTCGAATGTCTTTTGTTTACACTGGAAGACTGGACCTTGGCATACGTCATCACATAGAGCCGAGCTGTAGGCTTTGTATTTTGATTAGACTGTTTTGGCTCCAGAATGTCTGGGTTTCATTTCAAAATTAGTGATAGTTTGACAGCCTTGTTCAACCACGGTCATCCATCAAATTCGGCAGTCACGTAAGCATTTGTTATATAAAATGAGTGGATAAAATCGCTCCTCACTTGGGTCATAGACAGTGTATTATACGGACCGTTGTCACGAAGCCTAGGACCAGGACAGGTACGGGAGTGAGAGAGTTTTCGGAGCTTATGTAATACCGGAAACAAAATCAAACGCTTTTCTCTCCACCTTCTGACTTTCTTCAGTTGTTTCTGTGAGAGGGTTACACGAGTCTTAGAACGAACGAAACAGCTGTATGATGCAGTACACTTCGTCATCTGACTCTACAGTATCCCATTCACTAAGTTTGTCGTTTGGATTACCTGGCATTTTGTAGGTGGCAAAAACTGTTGTTGGATTTCAGCACTAATTCATTGTGTTCCTGGTGTCAACAAACTAGACCCTCAACATCATTGACGAGTCCTAGAAGGCCGAAACAGCTGTATAATACAGTTCAATTCATTATATGACTCTACTATGTCCAATTCACTTGTACAATATGCGATTCTATAGATAGTAAACACTGTTGGTGGATGTCAGTCCTCAAGATTTCACTAATTCGGATAATGGAGCTGTTCAGAATAGCACATATACCTGATGTTCTTCTGAAATCATTCAATAAAGAAAATCCTGAAATTTACAGAATATTTGGGTCGGTCCACCTGTCAAGCTGTTTTCTGACATTTCATCCTGCCAGGTCTAAATTTTACTTAACCGCCTCATAGATTTCAACAATTGATACCCTTGGCATTACTGACTATCCCTTGAAGGAAGAAACAAATGTATGATGTAACTTAATTCAGTACTTGGCTCTGCTGTATCTACTTTTTGTATTGAAAGGTGTTATTCACTTGTGTTTTTGGTACAATCTTACCAAAGGAAATTTCATATATTTTGTATTTTATTCAGTTTAAGAAGACAGATTTAACCCAAGAAAGACAGAATCAAAGACCGCAGACTGTTTTGGGTGATGGCAAAATGAAACATTACTTAAATAAGGATAAAATAATTTACGTAACATTTCATAACACATTTCAAGTACTTTCTCGTAATTTGTCTAGATCAAGGATTTTCCAAAAGGAGTAATGTCATTTATCAATTTCAGTTTTATCTTTAAAATAATGTAACATACAAGTAGAATACACAAAAATGAAATGAAAAGTCCATGTTATAGGACTTTTCATGTTTGTATACAAACAAATAATTTGACAGGATTTGGTAACAAGCCCTTTTCAATTATAGAAGAATTCTGATTTTGAATACAAATTGGTATTATTTTAACGAGTCACAATCTGAACCTACTGAATACGTAATCACGTGAACCAATTAAATGACGTTTACCATCTCAAAGTCACGATCCAGTTGTACACAGTTCAGATAAGCAAATATCACATGTTCGAGTTCAGGAATGGTTCAGGTTATCTAATTCCTTACTAGCATTAATTTGTAGTTGATGGATTGATACTCTTCAGTCGACCAAGAGATGCCACTTTACCAGGGGATGATCTTGCCGGCATAGTCAATCATCAGGCCGTTGGTGTCTTCGTTAAGGCCTGCCATGACGTTCATCATACCTTGTACCGACTGTTCCGACGTGATGAGGGCGTTTGGTCCACCCATGTCTGTCTTCACGTATCCCGGATGTAGACTCACGCTGAGAATGTCGTCAGATTTCAAGTCTACACTCAGGTTCTTCGTTACCATGTTCAACGCAGCCTGTCAACATTAAAGTACAATGAAATGGATCAAATAATTTTACCAGGGCACACAATTCTGTCAACATTCCACCAATATTGACCAATATATCAGCATTCTGCCAGGGGAGACAAACGTGTCATCATATTTACAAGTCAAATGAACGTGTCAACACTCTACCAGGGACAACAAACATGTCAACATGCTTCCAAGGCAGACAAACCTGTCAACATTGTTTTCGAGCGACGTTGATTAACTTTGGTCCTTTCTCAAGACATCGCATCTTTGGCAAAAATGTATTGTACAAATAGAGGGATAAGATAGATAGGTACATATCGGGGTAGTCGATCTTAGGCACGATAACTGTTACGTTAGATATCATTACCTTGGACGTTCGGTAGGGATAGCGCCCTCCACTTCCATTGTCCTCCATGGATCCAACCTTGCTTGTCATATTAACGATAGCAGCTTTGGTACAGCTCATGGGTTGGTTGGAGGCAGCTTTTGCAGCTTTCTGTATCAGGGGAAGGAACTCCTACAAGAATATTACATAGGAAAATGTTGACAATAATTCACATGGAAACGTTTGGTGTTTATTATTGGATTGGTCTCGGGTTTTATGTCTATTACGTTTATATCATAGCACCATGGCCTTTCTATAGAGATAATGTTCGATGGTTAAGGATAAACATGATGTCTCACCTCTTCATATACTCCAACACTTTTTGGTCTGTTTATTTTTTAGATATTGAGCGAGAGGCGTCCCAGTGTTCGTAAGCAGGAAAGATGAGGAAAATCCTATCCTGAAGGAATTTTGAGTTATGTTTTGAAATCCGCCTAATGCATGCCATCTTAACGGATACATCGGTCTAAAATAATCTATCCTCGTTGTCGGCATTAACATGTCCAATATCTTTTAATATAACTAAATATATCATTATACTTAGAAGTGGATAATTCTCACGTGGGACACTGTTATTCCCATTCAATGTACGAGTCATAGTAGTTTGTAGTAAGAGTTATACAAGTGATACAGTTGTGTTAAGACTATCTTTCGCTCTGCATGATTTTTACAAGACCAAGCTAAGGGTTCTTTTTCAACCTCACCACATAACCCACGATTTTAACAGGCGTTTCAGATGACTGATGACAAATATGGTGAATGAACAAGGGAGATAACTCGAACAGAAAGTCAGAAGCTGCATGCAGTCTGCGTCGGTAATTGTGTATGTTTAGTGACTGAACATCAGGGTTGAAGAAAGAGATAATTATGCCCGGTAAATTGCTGAATTCGGAGGAGAGCCTGTGGTTTCCAGAGTTGCTGGTAGTGGCATTGTGTGGTTGTTATGGTAGATATCCCTCAGGACTGCTTTGTATATTGTAGGGAGTATTTCACTTTTTATTTTAATTCAGGCCTCGTTTTGGGACTATGTACAGTTCTTAAATCCTAGATATCTAAATCCCCTGGAGATTTGTATGCTAAACTGTGATAAGTAAGATCTACTGTTTCTTTAATGTTCCCTTATAGATCATTTGAGTCATTATAGGTCACTTGAGTGGTGTGTTGGTTGGTTACATTCATTTAACGGGTTTTACGTCCACTATTACGGCCTTCCGGCCTTTAAGCGAACGAGCATTGGTTACAGGTTGTTCGTCTTCTAGATATGTATGAACAATGGTCACATGGTAGGTATGATCAGTGGTCACGTGTGTGGCGTCTATATACTTGAAAATAGAGATATTTACTTACTTTAGCTAGAAACAATGGTCCGATCGTGTTAGTACGGTACAGACTCTCCATTCTTTGAACGGTGACAGAGGAAAGGTCGTCACGACCAATAATCCCGGCGTTGTTGATGAGGAGATTCAGGCCACTACCTTGTAAAACAGACTCAACTTCTTCTCTGAGGCCCGGAAAACTGTCAGGCTCGGAGACATCTATAAAAACAAACAAGAAATACCATCCTTATTTAACATTTCTAACGTTTGACTGACTGTGAGACAGACTTACACAAACTGCTTTTAAAAATCCCTTCATAGATAAATGGCTTTCCTTACATAAAGTAAGTCAGAGATTAAATATATATACGATATAGTTTAAAAATGAAATTTTAAGTATCATTTGGAGATATCATCTATTATGTTTGATTTGGTGATAACACCATCTTTAAAATGACAATTCCTAATATAACGTATTTGTCTTATATCCTGGCCGATATATCTTTTTATCCGATATTTTTCACACAAGAATGTTGCCATTTACTTACCTAGTTTAAGCACCTGTACAGCACCATTCGAGTTCGCAAGAGTATGGAGGTCCTGTGGATTAACAAAACAATAACATTATTTAAATATGTGCAGGAGTAAAAAAAAGTCCAGCCGCCAGCTGCTTGAATGGTAATTTTTGCTTTGTCAGTGGAAATGAAAAGCAATATAATGAGATAAGGTTTCACCATTCTGGTGTCGTAGCCGACTGATTTCGGATTTGGTAAATTATTATTTAGTCTTTTATACAAATAAATATATTTATTACGTCATAAATACAAATTCAGTTGGATATTACGTCATTAAATACATGTTAAATCATAGCGAGAACGGACCGACCCGTACTACCCAGAGATAGGAAAGTCTCCGAAATTCATCTAATAGCTCATGTAGCGGGCACTTTATTACATAATGTGTGGTAATTCAAAACCAACAAACTTCAGCTGCCCTTACCCACAACCTTTAAAACAGAAATTTGTCTGGCACTTCATTACTAACAACGTATTTACCGCAGTGAAAACTCTCAACCCGTTAAATAGATTAAAAAAACATTGACAGATAAAATATCTCTTCAAACTTTCATCGGGAAACGAAACTTTAGTAAAATTCTTAAATAATTCAAATGAATTTACAAATACCTTAATGGTTTGAAACTCATATACCAAAAAATCAACGTCAAAATTACAATCTTAACTTTCAAGATAAGAGAAAGTTTACGGTCCGGTGACCTGACTTCCGTTTTCAGGTTCGGTAGCTGTTAAAGCCCAAACTTAAAGTATAGGGGATATGCTTACAGATAACAGGTTTATGAATAAAGGAAATGATAAAACAGATAAAAAACAAAACAGAATAATACAGCCTACAATTTATCTATGCTGTTTTGTATATTTTTTCCTATTTTAAACGTATCGCATAATATTGAGCGTAATTTGTACAAGTAATACTATTTTGGTCATCCTCTAAAGTAAAATGTGGGACAATATTTTTGAACTTAATCAATTAGACTTGCACAAGTTCTAGTAATTGAAAAATATGATTTGTTATTGAGAAAGAACGTCTAAACTGAAATATAAGTGTTAAATCTTGCTTTGGTCGATGTCTTGTGTGATGAATTAACATTCAATATGAACTGATTCGCATCATTGAATTTCAAGAGCACCCATTGCATTGCCTGATCAATTCGACCACAGCATGATTCAATGCTTAAATAAAGGGAAAAAATATAAAATTCCAAATGAATAACGTTTATAACTGAGTTCCTGAGTTCCACGGTCGTTGTCCGCTTCGCTTCGAAGTAGGAGGCAGCCATTTTCAAAATGTCACAGAGTATGTTGTAATCCTTTTTTATGAATTCATGGCATCAAGATTTAAGACAATAAGTAGTTTTGTATCGGAATCGAGCAGTGAAGATTCGTGGTCTTGTTCAAGATTTTAATTTTCAGGCATCGAAAGTTGAACCATAATGTTATTTTTTACATTAAGTAATGTAGTTTCAAATATGAATGTATACATGTTGTGAGAAATATATATGAACACTATTCCTAGGTTATTATAAGGTAAACGATCAGATATTAATGTACACATGGTCAGCAATCTCTGTCGTTCTACAGGTAATGTTACATGTAGTTAATTAGCTAATTACTAGTGCATAGGTCAGCGTAAGTAAAGCCATGTGGATTATTTGTAATCAATGTAGCAATATTCATCTATGAGCCATTAACTTATGTAACTTATGTAACACTTGTTTGTTCCATCCTATCTATCTAAACATGGTTTACCCATCTGACCTCTATATACCATTACTTAACTGTAAGTATAAACGTAAGCCTTGTCCTGGGTATAGTTGTCACTCCTCATACATAACCCTATATATATACACCATTTATATATCAAAAACTTCACTAATAAAGGCACCTGAATTGAATTGATTTCTCCCTAATCTACACAACGAAGTATTGCCTTCAAAGGTTAAAAAATATGCTGCTTTTCATTGTTTGGCAGATGACAATCGCAAGGTCTCTGACAAACAAATCTGTTGTGCTAAAAATGACCACAATGTCACGTTTCATTTATTTGATAATAATTATATATTGTCAATTTTTATTCTGCAAAATCTGGTGCACATATATTTATAGAGTCAAATATTTGTAAGAGTTATCTCTCTTTACCAAATCGGTAAAGATTCATGGAGTATTAATTGCGTAGAAATTGAAATATATGTGTGTGTGTGTGTGTGTGTGTGTGTGTGTGTGTGTGTGTGTGTGTGTGTGTGAGCGCGCGCGCGCGAGTGCGAGAGAGAATGCAGGTATGGTCTCGTTCTCGTTTATTATATTTGTATTTTGCGGAGTTGTCTTGAATTGAACATATTTTAATGCCTTAAAGTCGATAAATAAAAGGATTGGACACAAGCAACAATAACCTGTAGAAGTCCTCTCATCAAATAATAAGTTATAGTGTTAATTAAATATTCAATAGCGTGCATAAACAAAACGAAGTACTGTGGCAAGAACAAAAAGGCGACCAAAAAAGAAGAAACAATTGAAAAATAACAGATGATAAATAACTTTGTTTAAATCCGATATAAAAACGCTTATTTCAACAGTTATTTTTATTGTTAAACGTAGTCTTTCAGAAAATAATTCTGTCGAATAAACGCACGGGCAAAAATACAGCTGTTTTCCGTCACTGCCGAATCCAGCAAAAATGTGTGGCAGGGGTATTCCGACAATGGCAGCGCCAGTTGCAGAATAAACTCAGTTATAAAGGTTGTTGTTTTTAATCGTGGATTCCTAACTTCGTGATTTCTATCTCACACTGACACAGACGTGTATTGTTCCCATTTGTTAGTTATCTATAAAACTTTCTATTTACACTCTTACATTGTCCAGATACATGGATATGTAGTACCACTTTTCTAAGACTCTTGACTCACGGCCAGGGGAGGTAATTCACACTTTTTGATACGTAATGCATTATTAGATTAAATGCAGTATAATGTAATGCATACTCAGAATTATCGTGATGATTGCCTATCGCTATCGTATTGTCTCCTTGTGATAATATATATATTTTATAGTATGATCGTGATAAATATGACAGTGTAGTAATAATTGTTTCAAGGAAAACGTTATATTATCTACAGTGATGTGTTTTGCTTGATTCCTAAATGTGAAAATTGAAATCAGATGGAATGTGTTTGTCTTCACTTTTACATCCTCAATACAGGTTATGTCCTATATCATTACGTCATCAACACATGCTAATCCAATATCATAACGTCACCACTAAATGTTAAGTCCGATATCGTTACGTCATCAATACAGATTATGTCCAATATCAATACATCATCAATACTGGTTAAGTCCTTCATCATTTCGTCATCAATACATCGTCAATGTAAATCAATACAAATTTATATAATGCCAAAATAATTTTGGACAATTTTTAGCACGGAATTATTTTTAAAAATCTGTTATCATCACCGGCATTAGTTTTACGATTGATGACATTCTGTATAGATATATAATCTGCTTACTTTTCTGAACGATAGCCGAGGCTTTGTAACACTGTAACACACGGAACAACACGTGTTATCAATGCAAACACTTTAGGCCTAAATATACACTGTACCAGACGGCCTTTCTGACTACGAGTTAAACTCCTGTGTGGACACACGTGTATACCAACCTCGGCCTTGTCAGGACTCCTGCACGTGGCAAATACGTGTTTAGGTGGCGTTTCTAGCTGCAGAAATTGTCGGACAAGCTCAAGGCCAATCCCACGGTTTGCCCCGGTAATCAATACACTTCTCGGACTCAACATTGTTCTTTACGGTGTTCTGATCCTCTGACCGAGACAATAACAAAACCGAAACCGGATATAGCTCTAGAGTTCAGTCCCCTATCGAGCTAACGGTTTATTACGTATTTCTTAAAAAGGATTTTCACATGTATCAGACGTCCATTTGTGGCACAGATTAAATAGATATATCTACATTTCGCTTATACAAAATAATTTGTCAGTTTTTATAATAATTTCGTAAATCGATATCTTTTTCAGAAACGTGTTTAAAAAATTATTTAAATAGAAGGAATTTTAAATTACTGTCTAAAATTTCTATACCCGGAAAGCAGAAAACAATAACAAAAAAAATGGAACAAACTTAAACAGATAGTCAGCTAAGAAGCAAAATCATGGCATTTTACACTGATAATTAAAACAGTTAGGAAAGGATATATCGATAAAATGTTTTGAACAGAAACTGTTTCGTATTATATGTAGATATCATTTATTGAAAGGCTCTGTAAATAAGTTTCTATGATAATAATTTTAGTTTCTATGATAATAATTTAAGTGATGCCCAAAATAACGAATGACTCGATCTCCACGTCAAACAGTATCGCTGTTATATACAGCGTGTGTGTTTTAACGATACGGTCAGAATTCAGAAGTAAACACTTCAAAACATAGCCAATGACCCTGTTAACCTGACCTATTTGAAATGGCTTCAGTTATGTACAATTGAGGGTTGGGTTCCGGGAATGTCAATGTTTGCTCAAAACGATTCCTCCAGAATTCTTCAAACGCCTGTCTTTCACTGTGCGGGACCTTTTTATTAAGAATATCTATAAAATCAGATACGATGTAGGAAGGGGCCCAAGAAGGGGAACTTTATGTTAAGTAAACGATAGTTTGTTTCACACATTAAAATAATCAAAACATGAATTCAAACGCACATATGAAGCCAAAAAAGTGGGTTTTTTTTAAAAGTACGAAAAAACCCAATATTTTTTTAACAGTGCAATGTTAACTTTTGAAATTTTATTAATACTAACCGGCGAAAATAACTGAAATTATCATTATGTCGAAGTGTAAACATTTTTCATTTATCTATCGTACTATATAATATATTGGATAGTATTTCCATTTGATGAATACTGTGGTATTGATGCAAGAGCAAATCAAATTATTTACAGTCCATAGAGAATAATTGCAGTCGTCTACAGAGAAAGAAGACACGATAGTTGGAGTGTGGACAAGATATTTAATTTTTCTATTAAAAGATACACACATATATTTGAATACAATGTCGAATATTAACTAATAAGAAAGTAAATGTAGTGTAATTAAGTACTGAACTGAGTTCAGTTGGCATTTATGGGCATATGAATGCCAACAGGATAAGAACATTTGACCTTATCTAGTTTGCATTCCCATGAGTGCCACATGAGAGCAGTTCAATACATATATATATCTCATTTTGAATTATCGTCTTGTTATAAGGGAAGGAAACTTCACTTTGTTTACATTACTTGCTATTTTCGTGTGCTGTTGGCTGTCATGATCTTGTAACACACAACTGACTTTGCCAAGGCTACATCGTAGGAAGGTCATACAATGGTATTTATAGTACTGTAAATGTCAACATTATGACCTCCACATTGTTGTCGCAGAGACGGCGATGGCACAAAGCGCTCTTCCATCAGAAGCATTACACTGCTATTTATTTTGCTTCATTTTGAATTATATTCTATCATACTTGTGAAATATCTTTTGATAAATATCTTCATAATGACTGTTTTAACATTCTATTGTATTGAAGTTTTATTTGGAAGTCGTCAGAATTGTGAATAGAGTAGACGTATACTATTTTTAGATCTATGAAGTGTTTTATTCAAAGCAATAGTTTAAAGAGTATTGAGTCCACCAACGTGGCTTGTTGTCAGTGTTATTATCCACCGTGTTTAAGTAAAGTGCGCCAATACTTGATATCGTTTTCTGAATGGGATTATTTTCAGAGATTATTAAGATTTCGTTTATAATATAGGTACAATCAAAGTAACTTTACAAAAACAGACAAGTGGTGATAGGTAATACCATATATTGACAAAAGCACTCTAAATATAGTAAACTGTTTAATAGATGTTCTATATAAAATATTATCTTAAATTCCGCCATATTGGATCTACTTTTGTGAAAATAAGGAACACAGTGCAATAGATTAACAAATTTTCACTAATACCGAGAATTTTTTTTATATAGAAGATCATACGACATACAGAGTTAAGACACGTGTGGTAAACCAGGAGTTTGATCACGATATAACAAAATCGGTTGATATACAATGTATCAACATTGGTTTTCATGTTTGTAGATCATTTCTCGCATTTTATCCTCTAGAGACCGTATGGTGTTCAACACATTAACTGTTTCAATCCTTACCCTTTGTAAAGTAGGAGAAATGTTTGTTGAAATAAGTCTTATATAATGCAGAGCGGAAGACCATACATACCCAGAAACTCAAATCAAACTACATGAAGTGTTTTGAAGCACACAAGCAACACAATGTTTTACCCGTCATTAGAAAAATTATATTCCTCTCGCCATGTAATCGGGAAGAAAATAAACGTTTTGCTGCGGTTGCAATATTTTTTAATCCATGTGATACAGTTTACGATTATAAACATAACTTATGATTGTTCACAATGTTAAAACTGGTAATAAAGGCTTTGCCACGTCCCCCAAGAGTGTGTTGGTATGTCAAAATTGAAATGACTTATGCCATATTTGAATATATGGTTAAAATCATCACAACTACATATACCAAGAAAATTATAACGTTCCTTTGGATACAGCAGCAGCGGCAGCAACAACAGAAACAAAAACAGCAGGGAAAAAAGAAAAAAACAAACAAAGATCATCGACAACAACACCACGACACAACATACACAGCAGCAACAATAACATCAACAACAGCAGGGAAAAAACACAAAGAGCATCGGCAGAAACACCATGACACAACATACACAGCAGCAGCAACAGCATACACAGCAGCAACAACAACAAAAACAGCAGCAGCAACAACATACACAGCAGCAACAACAACAACATACACAGCAGCAACAGCAACAGAAGACAAAACAGCAGCAACAGCAACAACGACAACAACAACAACTAAAGACAAAACAACAACAACAACAACAACAACAAAAGCAAAAAACAGCAACAGCAATAACAATAAAAACAGCAGAAAAAATGAAAAATAAAGAAAATTGGCAGCAACACCACGACACAACATACACAACAACAACAACATACACAGCAGCAGCAACATACACAGCAGCAACAACGACAACATTCACAGCAGCAGCAACAACATACACAACAGCAACAACGACAACATTCACAGCAGCAGTAACATACACAACAGCAACAACGACAACATTCACAGCAGCAACAACATACACAACAACAACATACACAACAGCAACAGCAACAACATACACAGCAGCAACAACATACACAGCGGCAACAACATACACAACAGCAACAACATACACAGCAGCAACAACATACACAGCAGCAACAACACAAACAACATTCACAGAAGCAGCAACAACATACAAAGCAGCAACAACAAAAACAACATTCACAGCAGCAGCAACAACATACACAGCAGCAACAACATACACAACAGCAACAACATACACAACAGCAGCAGCAACAATATACACAGCAGCAACAACATACACAGCAGCAACAACAACATACACAATAGCAACAGCAACAAACACAGCAGCAGCAACAACATACACAGCAGCAGCAACAACAAACACAACAGCAGCAACGACATATACAGCAGCAACAACGAAAACAACATTCACAGCAGCAGCAACAACATACACAGCAGCAACAACATACACAGCAGCAGCAACAACATACACAGCAGCAACAACAAATACAACATACACAGCAGCAACAACATACACAGCAGCAACAACAAAAACAACATACACAGCAGCAGCAACAACATTGACAGCAGCAGCAACAACATACACAGCAGCAACAACAAAAACAACATTCACAGCAGCAGCAACAACATACACAGCAGCAACAACATACACAGCGGCAACAACATACACAACAGCAGCAACAACATTGACAGCAGCAGCAATAGCATACACAGCAGCAACAACAAAAACAACATTGACAGCAGCAGCAATAACATACACAGCAGCAACAACAAAAACAACATTCACAGCAGCAACAACAACATACACAGCAGCAACAACATACACAACAGCAACAACATACACAACAGCAACAACATACACAACAGCAGCAGCAACAATATACACAGCAGCAACAACATACACAGCAGCAACAACATACACAGCAGAAGCAACAAAAACAACATTCACAGTAGCAGCAACAACAGAAGAAAAAACAGCAGCAGCAACAACAACAACAGAAGCAGCAGCAACAAAGGCAACAATAGTAGCAAATGAACATTAGCAGAAATAATAACAAATACAACAGGAAAAAGAAAAACAAAGAACATCTGCAGCAACACCACGACACAACACAGCAGCAGCAACAACGACAACATTCACAGCAGCAGCAACAACGACAACAATAGAAGCAGCAGTAGCGATGACGTAACCGAAGAAGCTTCTGACGTAATGCTGGGATTTTATCGATGTCAGCCTGTGAACTAGAAATATGACACGGGTGTCTGTATAGACTTTTCACGGACAATAGATACAAATATTTCAACTTTGACGGAACAGTTAACATCGCCGTCTGGGAAAGTTGATAATAACTATGAGGGGCTCTGAATATTTATCCTCGAAACTTTTTTGTTTGTGCACGAGCGATAGTCAAAATTCCTACCGCATCGTAAACAAGTAAATCTATGGACCTGTCAGTGCGTTGGCATAAAGCCAAATCTTTATACAAAGACATCGGTGGAATGTGAAACATTTTTCTTTTCAAACATTCGGATATAAAAAAAATCAATGTAACCTTTATTCCGATCTGATAAGTTGTACACGAAATAAAAGTACACTTACTAGATATATCTATTTCCCATAAATCCTCTGGTTCGCAAGCATAAAACAAAACATTTACGTATTATTTTTGTTTAATCACTGGAATCTGTATTGCTGTAATATTGACATCGAGCGTATACTTAAAGGATTGAAATGTGAAATCTACTTCCGTTTCAAACTTCGGTCAGACGACACGTGATGGCCGCGTGATCGCCGCATAAATCAACTTGTTATTACATTTACATACAGTCCGTCCCCTTTTTTACCTTTCCTTAAAACTTCCGTAAACAAGACTTAAGAACTACTAATAGTATATTACCAATATTATTTCAAAATAAGCATGGATATCTTCTCGGTTGATACTCAGCTGCGAAAAGAAGAAAAGTATCAGCATTCATGTAATTAGCCTTTTCAGCTATAATTCTTCCCAGGAAATCCTCCTACTCTTCCACTACTGAGCCAAATGACTGATGACTTCGCATGCAGATTATACACAGATTCGGCTTTCTTTTGACTCTTACTTTATATTTTCAACGATTTTGAGTTTGAATAAATGTATTTTTTATTTTCTTGTTTTTTTTTCATTGCGCTCCATTTTTGTGACACCATCATAGTAATCGCTTATAATTTTGGAGGATCGCTGTTTAGAAACACGGTAGGTACACCATATCATTAAATTACAGTCTTAATATTTAAACTATAAAGAAAACATCGGAATGTCATGATGTATATGAAACTTGGCCATCGATAATTTAACCCTATATGATAACGCCGACGCAATTTAGGAAAACCAGCTAATGCTTGTTATAAGTAAATCTGTAGGCGCGTTCGGTTCTTGTGACATCATTTATTAAAATTAATTTCTGCTAAAATGTATATCACTTGATTACAAAGTCAGGAATTTTATCTAATGTTTAAATTATTTTTTTCATTCTTGTTTGACACTGCATGAAACTGCCCATATTGCGCCCACTATCATATTTGTTTATTTTCATTTCGTTGATGTATTGTTTCCTTTGAGGAGTGAATTCCGGATTTAGTACGTGTATTTGTGTTAATCATTCCCATCGTGCGTTAGCTTCATTAGTATCATGGAAATCACATGCAAGAGAGTTTCATTCGTAATACTAACATGCATGCGCAGTCGAGGTTATTTCTAGGTCAAAAGTACATGCGCTTGTCAGAGATAACCACCAGATGGCGTCAATTCTCATAAGGCTTACAAGTCGGTTGTTACAGCAAAAATGTGGTATACATGCAAACGCAGACATGATCTGGAGCCGCGTTGTCCAGTGTCGGCTTAGGGTTCGTGGTAAGCTGTGCTGATTCTTTCAGCTCAATTAATTAGCACATAATTATTCTTCGATTTGCTCCGAATCACTGAAGCGCTAAAGAGGTTATCTGGGCAATCTAGTATTGAAATAGATTTGTGAAAGTACGATCTGCAAACCGGCAACCTGTACAAGTTTTGGTGTAGAAAGAAAATGGAGCAGCATTCCTGAAATGAGAGCAACCCATAATGATTTATAGGATATTCTTATAACTAGCGGCGCGTCATAGTTCAGTATTATTAGCAAGAATGTTAAGGATACGGACCTGCCTCGTTAATATTGAATTAGTAACATTTACAATAAACAATGTTTGATTACAAGGTTTGACAGGTAAATAACTTTCTCCTTTAATCCAAGCCCTTACTTGAACATACGACTCTGATAATTGCATATATATACTGATCACGTGACAGGAGTTTTGTGATACTCTTGATTCCACAGAAGTGAGATTAAGTAATTACAATGTGTATATAAAATATTTTGCTCGATTTTGAATACCCTCTTGAAAAAGTAACTTGTAACCGGACATCCTACTCCAAAATTCAGGAGAACTTTCATCCCTTATTATGACATTAATTCCCGCCCATTTTAACGAAATGCGAACAGTGGAACTCGAAGACCTCAAACTATATCGGAGCGTCTTTCATATAAAAATACGATAAGGGTATTAAGATGAAATATATTGAGTTTTTTAAAATTTTCTTCTGGCAAATTTCTTCCCACATACACCATCAGTATTAATGTGATTGCACATAAATAGCAAATCTAGAATTAATTAGATGAAGCACAGTCAAAATGAATTAAACTAATCTACATTTCACTATTTCAATGATCTCTGTCAGAGACTATATTAGGTTTCATGAAATAAGGACATCATACACTCCTATAAGACCCATTACCTTAACATACAAACATAAACACAGTACAAATTTGTTCATGTTAGACACCATGTCAATACACGATTTTGGTTGACAAGTATATATAGATCACATGGTCTATAAAGGATATCATACTTCCTACAAAGTTTGTTCAGTTAACTGTTGCTTTACGTCCTATTAACAGCCAGGGTCATTTAAGAACGTGCCAGGTTTACTTGGTTGAGGAAAGCCGAGGTTCCCGGAGAAAACATCACCGACCTGCGGTCAGTACCTGGCGACCGTCCCATGTTTGCCTCGAACCCATAACCAAGAGATGACGGGCTAGTGATAAAGACACTCAGAGGCGTTAATCACTTAAACACAGGTGCCCATTTTTCTGCCAAGAAAATTGATAAGTCGGCATGATTTTCAAAGAATCTTACAAACACATATATTTTTGTTTTCAGAGCCGAGATATCAGCTAACTATGTTTTGTTATAATAATTTTTAAGATTACAACGTCACAACGGACGCGAACATCCCTGTTTGACCTCAACGTCATAAGACTACGGACTCGTTTGTAATGTTTGATGATGGATCTACTAACAGTTTCTCAATCAAGTTATCACTAGTACAGTCAAATGATGATACTGTTTAAGTCATAACTACAATTAATGAATTGTCATTTTAAGCTCCAAGTGACTGCATCTCCTTAAAACCAAACAGTACTACAAATGTGTGATTTGGCACTGTGCAGAAGTGTTGTTTCGTGAAAATGAAACAAATTAAAAGGAGCGAGTTCATTTTCGACAATATATTTGCATGTTGAGTTTGGGGGCAAAATCTACCATCAGAGTATTGATATACTCGGCAGCAAACTATGTCCGCCTTTTTTTACTTTTTATTTTCTTTGCATGAGGCTTACTCTTTGGAAGAATTTTCCGAAGAGTTTTCCTTAAATTTCTGTTTTGGATAATTAACGTGTTACCTGTAATTATTATGAAATCAGAAATGTGTAGGTCAAGTGAATCAAAAAGAGTCTATGAAGACAAATCAAATTTCTCCTTTTAATACAACGTAATGAGTTTTAATTGACCACTTCCATGCAATACCACTAAGTTAAGGAAAATAAACAGAATTAGGAGTTTGATGAATTCCATAGTTCCTATGATCAAATTTGAAAGTTGTATACAACATTAACGCCTTCAAGTATTGAGGAGCACCTTTGTCTTATTGCTTTGCAGCTTTCTTTTTCGAGAGAGGCAAACAGTGACACAAAAAAACATAGGTCATGAAAACACGACTGACGAACATAACTAGTGTAAACATATTTGAGAAACATTTTGCCCTTCTCTAGTCCAACCTCTGTTCGATTTATATGTGTCTGGCTTCATCGATTTATCAGACATAAGCAGAACATGTAGCAAAAATCTAGTTACGTTCTTCAATTTCCCTGTGAAATGCATTGATAATGTGTTCAATGACAGTCTTTTCATACATTTGAAAAAGAGAGAAAAGATGGATTAGAAAAGTGAACTTGAACACTTGTATTATGTTATAAGCTGTGAGGAATTCGCAGGGATCTACTATTACACAAGGGATACGACAGAGGTCATTTCTCACGGTAAATGTTTAACAGACTGGAACATCTTCCATGTTCCGTTCATTCGACTAAGGAGACCGTCGATTCTATTTTCAACGTTTGAAACGGACCCATGTTCCATTTATCATTGGTTACATTTTCAACGTTACACCGGAGAATATAGATAAATATATTTATTTACCATGTATGGTACTCCATGAGTTGATGTTTTCGTTTTTTGTGGACCATATACACTGCGGACCACCAACAACTTAGAAACACATACATTCCAGATAATCATTGTAAATAATTCAGTTTAATTAAAATGAAATGACTGCTTCCCATTTTCAATAAGCGTTTGATTTCAAACGTTTATAGATTCTTAGAAAGTTAAACATACTATTAAGTGACCTATCAATATTGTTTACCTGTATTACAGGTTGCAACAACTTTATTTCCTCTATGCACTGCTTCCGGTTTGGACTGCCTGTATAACTTACAAGTATTATTGCTAGAGAAAAGTTATTTTTGTAATGTAAGCATACGTGTAATATTATGCAATTAGCCAAAACTTAATTAGCCAGCCATGTTTGAAGTCTTACCTTGTAAGATGACCTTTTTTCACCTACATGCTTGACTGAGCGAAATAATCAGTGAATCTGAATTTGACCACAGTACAGTAACATTTGAATTTCCATCTTTGTTTAACATGCATTTTTCTTGATATTTTTTGTAGAGATCTTGTCGGCCATCAGATATGTTTGTAAAATATGTTTGTTTCCCACTGCTCCAAGGACTAGTTAAGGAAGTAATATCATTACATGTTGTTTCGTTGGAACAGGTATTTGCCACGTGACCACTCGCTGACTCTAGCGCTACGTTACAATACACCATAGAAAAAAAACCAAAAAAACTAATTACTTGATAAGAAGTCTGATCCCTGTTGATGTGACATATTATACAACAAGCAGCTTATTTCTATGGCCATCGGGTTTTTTCTGTAAATGAGTCAATTACAAACCCAGCCACACAATGATACTATAAATAGCTACACAGCATTAAAGTATTGCAGCCGTAGACAAAGGATTGACAAACCCACCTTCTCCTTCACAGGGCCTCATGCTACACGACCACACGGATACTCCCGATCACACACAACGGCCTTTAAGTTTGGAGTAGCCGCCTCGTTATCACGCGCACACCGGATTATTTTATTCTACTCGACACAAGGTAAAAAAATATCATTTATTCTTCCTGTTACATGTTGTGGAATTTTCAATACTAAAACATTTAGATATTGTGAGGTTAGTTAGAAAGAGAATGAATTGTTTGTTTGATTGAGACTGAACTCTCACTGAATTGTTCTTTATTGATTTGCGCGGAGAATGTAGCCACGAGAAAATCGACGGCTCTTCTACTCAAATGTCGCTACACGTAAGCGGTCTCTATTCAGCTGAATTACTCCTGCTTGTTATATCGGTACGATACAAATTTATTTTGTTTTAATTTCTTGGGGGATACGGATTTTGAAGTATACTAATTTGCTAGATATTTACGCTTTATTCCATTTTTTTTAACATGGCTTAAAAACACCTATTTTAAAAAATCTATAAATACCCAAATAACAGATAGATATTTGTAATACTGAATATCTTACGGTGTTCACATTGCGGTGCTAATTCTTGTTACATCCCACCAAAGCGAGCGACAGCTGGGTCGATTTCATGCTGGCGCGGTGAATTATTTTTGACCTTTAGATATTAAAATAACAAACTATATAACAATTAATCGCTTCACATGTTGTGATTGAAAGCAAAACTTAGTTCATAACTCATAAGTATGTTAAAAGATGTCGATTCGACCCGTACATGTGGACTATTTCATCGTACACGCATGAACTTTCCTTCACATCACTTGTGAGGTTATCCCGATTCTTTCTCGCCTTTTACTGTCCCTTATCTCGTTGCTACACACGCCGATTCTTCCTGCGCCAACCTTCCCCTCGCCCATTTCTCCCTCCTCCTCTACCCCATGTCTCCCTTCACGACCCTCTCGTCCGTTTCCCTACATACAAGGACGAATTCTGATACGTCCCATTACGTCTTGTGTTGCAGAAAGGTGTCCCAAGTGATTTTGTTCTTTGTTTGCACCAACGTACACAACGAAAGAGGTGCGGTCTTTACGGAAGTGTCAGATTACCTGGAATTATTGTACATGTGTTCACAGTGAAAGGGCACCTTCGTTGTATAGGTCGCATCACAATGCTTCAATAAAGATGCGGGTAGTAAATTGAATGAAGTATTTAATAGATTCAATCTTTAACTTATACAACTACCCGAAGCTGTTTTGCACTTCTGTATACATGATATATGTAATATATTCAAGAATAACAAACTTATAGGATATGCACCACGTGTGATCCTCACATTTTGGAGTCACTATAATCATTGATTTTATACACTTGTATGCAGCTTAAATGTTGAAATAGCTCATGTGTCACAGCTTTTCGTTACAGGTAAGCTCTCGAGTGCAGTCTTTTCCTTGGGCTCCCTGGGTTCATGTGTGTTAGGGAGTTTTAAATTTTATATTTTAGGATGTCATTGTTATGTATGTCTTGTATGCGTGTAAAGACTTAGAATGTTCATCGTTGTGAACGTCGTGTATGCGTGTAAGGCTTGGAATGTTCATTGTTGTGTACGTCGTGTATGCGTGTAAGGCTTAGACTGTTCATTGTTGTGTACGTCGTGTATGCGTGTAAAGACTTAGAATGTTCATTGTTGTGTATGTCGTGTATGGTGTAAGGCTTAGAATGTTCATTGTTGTGTACGTCGTGTATGCGTGTAAAGACTTAGAATGTTCATTGTTGTGTATGTCGTGTATGCGTGTAAGGCTTGGAACGGGGCCGCGACTCCAGTACTCAAAATCGGATAATTCTAATCACCTGAAGAACCCGTGATATTTGATTTACGAGTGCAGTCTTTTCCTTGGGCTCCCTGGGTTCATGTGTGTTAGGGAGTTTTAAATTTTATATTTTAGGATGTCATTGTTATGTATGTCTTGTATGCGTGTAAAGACTTATAATGTTCATCGTTGTGAACGTCGTGTATGCGTGTAAGGCTTGGAATGTTCATTGTTGTGTACGTCGTGTATGCGTGTAAGGCTTAGAATGTTCATTGTTGTGTACGTCGTGTATGGTGTAAAGACTTAGAATGTTCATTGTTGTGTACGTCATGTATGCGTGTAAAGACTTAGAATGTTCATTGTTGTGTATGTCGTGTATGGTGTAAGGCTTAGAATGTTCATTGTTGTGTACGTCGTGTATGCGTGTAAAGACTTAGAATGTTCATTGTTGTGTATGTCGTGTATGCGTGTAAGGCTTGGAACGGGGCCGCGACTCCAGTACTCAAAATCGGATAATTCTAATCACCTGAAGAACCCGTGATATTTGATTTACCGTTAGCTTTGTTTATAATAAATAGGATTAGTATATGGGCTAGCTAGGTTGTAGGTACTGCGGGGTATGATAAACACAACGTAATCTTATTATAAAGATTACCCCAAGTACTATGACTAGGTTATCTTATTCACTGTTAAGCAAGAGACCGATAGGGATGTCGATAAAAAGAGAGTGTTGAGAGTGGGGAGAGAGAGAGAGGCCCAGGACGACTGACTCGACAAGATCTTGTACGAAGCCATTAAAAGTTATAGTACCAACAAGAAGCTCTTGGTCGTTTTGTTACATGTGTCGTGTGTACATGTTAAGGCTTAGAATGTTCATGATTATATGTCTCGTGTTTCCGCGTAAAGATGCTGTCTAACCTCTGAGGCAGCTTGACAAAACAGACAGGTGCGACCTGTGCAAAAAGGAAATAAAAAAAACTCTTCTATTCATGGTGCCCAACTGCTTTGTATCGTGAAAATAAAATATAATCTGATCAGGTTCGTAATTATTTGATTATCAACATTTCCTTTGTTATCTGTACTCCGGCTCACAAATATAATTAATTATTGATTAATGAAGACCGGACCTGTGATATTATCGCTGTATCCATTCTAAAGTGTCAACAATAACAAGCCTCTGGATGACCGAGATGTTTGTTGTCAACAGTTCGGCAAAATATCGTACACTTCAATATGATTTTTTACATTGACGCACACATGTAGAACGAAAAAAATTAAATGTATAAATATATCCCATTTCTAATATATTTTTTTCCATTCTTTTAGCATCTCATCGACTTAAGTTATTTACTCATTAATGTATGACACGATCCTGCAAAACACGGAATAACCATTAAAGTAAATCACAGCCGGAAAATAGAAGCTTTTTAATGACACTCGTTTTTAAGCTTGCATTTGTCACATTTCTATATAATTTTATATGAAATCTACCTACCAATGTAATATTTATTGTAAGCTTAGATTTTCTGTGATAACACAAGACTCGCTTATCCATATGGAATCTACATGGTATGTTAAACAAATTTTTGTATTTGTGCGTGTAAGTGTGGCCTACATACATTATAACCTCGTTGTATTGCCACCCGTTGTACCGTCAAACTCGCATACCGCCATAATTGTATCAGATCGGATTTTCCTACATTTAAATCAATGCAACCATTGTAGCGCCAAAATCGTGTACCGTCATTTGCAACAATGTTTTGAGAACAGTTGTACAATTGTATTCCTGTTTCCGCGATACTACGACCACAATGTCACAGAATCGATATACTGAAGTTATAATGTTGAATATCGATTTCATACCTGAAAAGCCTGTAATTATTGGGGATTACATAACCGATAGATAAATATTTCTTATTTAAACAGTCTTTTGTGCGTCACGTTTTTAATATGTCGAAGGGTGTATTTGCAGACCATGTCTTAATCTAATGTTTCGGAGCGTTGTACTCTGTGACAGGCGAGGTACATGTAACTACGAAAAGGACACACACATGCGACGTATGTTGATATATTGGACGCACGTGGGGATGTTAAGTACTTTGAATGAACGTGATTTACGTGCGCGTTTCACGGTTATGGTGTGTGGATATGTGACCACGTGATGTATAGTCGTGTTGATTGGCATCATATAAGTGAACATGTAACGTGCATGGTTGAAGTTGTGTACACAGACATGCAGTTAATGAGTAATGGGGCGTTTGTGTGGACACGTGACTTTGACCATATGTTGCTGTGAGAGCTAGTTTTGGTGGTAGGGGGTTAAAAATCGTGGGAAAGGGGGAAAGGAGGAGTGGAGGGGAAGGATAGGACACAGGTCATTGGTTCAGACAGACACTATCTGTAATTAGCATTGACTAGACTACCGGGCAGAAGCTAATGTATGGTTTGTGTATCGCTCGTTACAGAAAACTCCTACAGTGTGTGATGTTTATTTAGGACAGGCCTCAGATAGCTGTCTTTGTTATACCGTCTTTTTTCACTCGAGCGTTACTGTAATAGAACAAACGCAATCTGCTGCCGTGATACAAAAAAAATCGATAAAAAATAACTGACACACTGTAATTTTCCACTTTACGCTCCCCACATTTGACCGACCATGGGTGTTATGGCACAGTTAAATTAGCAAAGTGGGGCCAACGATACACCAGCTAGGAATTCACCAGCCAGAGCTGTATCTGACCAAATAGTGCTCGATTTTAACATCTTTAGAATCAACATGGCCGCAAATAGAAGACAGGTTCAAAGTTAGGCGATTGCACCTATGTAGCTACATGTACATACTTTGACACAAAGGGTATGTAACATTGTTTCTTCGAGACGAGGGGTTGTATGGTATACTATATATACATATATAACTAGTAAATGAGACTAACGAAATACCAGTGAAAAATCACCTACAGAAAAGTCATCGGTATTTAGTCAAATATTCATCTTTTTTTTTGTACCGGATTCATCACAAATGAATTATACAACAAAGTAGATTTAAACACCCTTCGTACACTGTAAATGCGAAACAAGACCGGCGTTACTCCCATGTATCTTAAGTATGTTCGTCGAAATGCGGGTCAAACAAATTAAAATCTACTCTTCAGTGAAAACGCCGGCGACTGTCGGTGATTGACCTTTGTCAGTGCTACCGACATGCACGGACGAATATGTAGATTTTTTTTGTGGAAAGTTTATGTGGCTAAAACCCAATAGACTCCATTATCTGATGTGCCTTACCCTTAAACAGTTCTATTGCGGAACGCAATGAGATTATCTGCGCCGTTGATTGGTTAAAAATATCAAAGATTTTCAAATATATTTTAAGCTAACATGTGGAAATACAGATATTAATTCTATCAAAAGTAATTCAAATAGACAATAAACATGTACATTAATAGTTTGAAACTTACATTGTCAGAAACTTGTTGAAAAAATAAACCTTAACCTTAAGATACATAAAGTACAATGTAACAACACATATGATATTCTGCCTGGTTTAGAGCGCGGAAATCTTCGTCACTCTCCATGAAAATTGATCGACTCTTACGTTTACACGAAAGGTGCCGAAGAGTCCCGATTTGACATGAAACTCTTGCTTATAATAAAATAGAGTTATTCTATTCAAATTATAATCAACGTTTATGAAATTTCCTTTATATTGATTTACAGTACATATAAGGCTATCTATAACATACATCTCAATGAACAAGTTAGGCTTGATTTCAGACAGTGCGTGCCCAATGTCATCTATATAGTAGAAACAAAACCGAGAAGCACTTAAAATTTCCAATAACTAACATTCAATACACTTGATCGCTAGTCACATTTGTATTTGTTCACTGGTTTGAAAATCTATATTTCACTGTTTACCGTGTAAGTGATATTTGAATGGCCTTTACAGTGGGAACAGTGATAACGATTGTGTCGATTTTACCGAATCAACCGGTTTTGCAGTCGTTGTCTTGTTAGATCTGTCAACACAGTGGAATTATACCTCTAGTTTAGGCTTGGCGTGATATCACCGTAACACTGATAAAGGAGAATTATACCTCTAGTCTAGGCCTGGCGTGATATCATTGTAACACTGATAAAGGAGAATTATACCTTTAGTCTAGGCCTGGTGTGATATCACCGTAACACTGATAAAGAATGATACCTCTAGTCTAGGCCTGGTGTGATATCACCGTAACACTGATAAAGAATTATACCTCTAGTCTAGGCCTGGTGTGATATCACCGTAACACTGATAAAGGAGAATTATACCTCCAATCTAGGCCTGGTGTGATATCACCGTAACACTGATCAAGGAGAATTATACCTCTAGTCTAGGCCTGGTGTGATATCACCGTAACACAGATAAAGGAGAATTATACCTCTAGTTTAGGCCTGGTGTGATATCACCGTAACACTGATAAAGAATGATACCTCTAGTCTAGTTCTGGTGTGATATCACCGTAACACTGATAAAGGAGAATTATACCTCCAATCTAGGCCTGGTGTGATATCACCGTAACACAGATAAAGGAGAATTATACCTCTAGTTTAGGCCTGGTGTGATATCACCGTAACACTGATCAAGTAGAATTATACCTCTAGTCTAGGCCTGGTGTGATATCACCGTAACTCTGATCAAGGAGAATTATACCTCTAGTCTAGGCCTGGTGTGATATCACCGTAACACTGATAAAGAATGATACCTCTAGTCTAGGCCTGGTGTGATATCACCGTAACACTGATAAAGAATGATACCTCTAGTCTAGGCCTGGTGTGATATCACCGTAACACTGATAAGGCCTGGTGTGATATCAGAATAAAGAATGATACCTCTAGTCTAGGCCTGGTGTGATATCACCGTAACACTGATAAAGAATGATACCTCTAGTCTAGGCCTGGTGTGATATCACCGTAACCCTGATCAAGGAGAATTATACCTCTAGTTTAGGCTTGGCGTGATATCACCGTAACTCTGATAAAGAATGATACCTCTAGTCTAGGCCTGGTGTGATATCACCGTAACTCTGATCAAGGAGAATTATACCTCTAGTCTAGGCCTGGTATGATAAACGTTGAAAAATAACTTTTGCTAAACTGGAATCGCACTTTTAGTCAAGATTTGATATTACCCAACCATAACACATCAATTGTTAGGTTAACGAACCAACCTCTGATATATAAGAACACGAGTCTAGTAATTTTTAGGTCTCGTTATAATTTCTCTAGGCCTGCTGTGATATCACCGTAACCCTGATAATGGAGAATTATACCTCTAGTCTAGGCCTGGTATGATAAACGTTGAAAAATAACTTTTGCTAAACCCGAATCGCACTTTTAGTCAAGATTTGATATAGCTGATATATTCTGCGAAATCTGGTCGCAGGGGAAATCTTCTTTATAATAGGCTGTCTGTAATCACGAGAAATTTGAGCCGAGTGTAAAGCGTTTTGGACATATTTAGAAGCAGGAAGACATTTGATATGGTAGCGAGTCCTCTCCTGTGTGTGGAAGTAAATTGTAAAATGAAGTGAAACCTTTCTACACATATAACCTTTACCGAATCCACCAGTTTACGTGGGAATAGCGGAGTTTTATTATCGGTGTCTGTGTGCGGCAGTAAAAGCAATGGTAACTGATAAATTGCTCGTCTACGTTTTGTGTTTTAATGAATTTATGTCACGACTTCTTAATTCTGGAAAAAAACACCGAGTCAAATCATTTGCGTGTGATCGATATCTCATCCCTTTTATAGCCCAAGAATTTCAACAAGACGTACATAAACATATCAGGGCTTTAGTTTGTATAGGGTTACACATGTGACATGTATTATGGCCTCAAAAGACAGGAAGCTTTTAAAATCCAACCTTCACCATTGTATAATGAACAATAACAACAACTTCATAATACCATGGCAATGATTGGTCTACTGCTTGTCACGTGTTTTACTGTATCACAGGGACACGTAGTGTGCTGTCATCCCCCATATGTTACTGTATATACTGTGTCACAGGGACACGTAGTGTGCTGTCATCCCCCATATGTTACTGTATATACTGTGTCACAGGGACACGTAGTGTGCTGTCATCCCCCATATGTTACTGTATATACTGTGTCACAGGGACACGTAGTGTACCGTCATCTCCCATATGTTACTGTATATACTGTATCACAGGGACACGTAGTGTACTGTCATCTCCCATATGTTACTGTATATACTTGTTGAAGGCTGGTGTTTCTTTTTTAATTTTTGAAACTCTGGTTTTTCTCCACCACATAAACATGGCACGTTCTTAATGATAATGGCTGTTATAAGGACGTAAAACAACAATTGACAAACAAGTCTTGGCTACAAAGGAAGGAGATCAGGATGGCATTTTCCTGAAAGGCGGAAGAAATGAAGCGTCGATAGGGAAATAGGAACCAGACTGATATTAAATATTGTGTGTGTTAAAAGGAATGCTAATTGAGTAATTTCTGCGTTACAGGGTCGACATAAGTCTAGACTATGGCTAACCTTGATGATATTTTAAAGAAGATTGGCGAATTCGGTCGTTACCAAATATGGCTGTTCGTTCTACTGTGTCTACCGTCCACTAGCAATGGGTGTTATATGATGATGATGATTTTACTGGCGTACACCCCGAAACACAGGTCGGTATATATATTCTGTATATGTACAAGTATATAACAATGCTGCCATATGATATACGGAAAACCCATTTACGCCTATAATGTAAATGTTTGCTTACAGTGAAATCATTATACTATGCATTTTCATGGGGCGCAAATTTCATAGTGTTTTTAAGCTATTAGACGCGAAGGGTTAGGATGACCTTTAGCCTTCGTGTTTCATCCGTCGTCTGGAGTGCGTAAAATTTCCATTCAAATGATTTCTCCTCAATAACTTAGACTCAGGATAATGATATGAGGCCTATAGCATGATGGGATGAAAGGCTACCAAATTTGTAATATTAATGACCTTGACCTATTTTCAAGGCCACAGGGGTCAAATATGTTTAAATCTTTAAACAACGTTTTCTCAATTAACAAATGGCCTAGGGTGCTGATATTAGGCCTGTAGCATAAAGGAATGAAAGGCTAAAAATTTGTTAAATAAATGACATTGACCGGCAAATAGGTCAAATATTTCAGAAGTTTAAACGACTTCGCAATAACTGAAAAGCACAGGATGATGATATTGGGCATGTTGCCTAAAGGAATAAAGGAACTACCAAATTTGTTAATATAAATGACATTGACCTGCTTTCAAGGTCAAAGGGGTGAAGTATGTTTAAATGTTGAAATGACTTCTTATCACTAATCAAATGGCCCAGGGTAATGATATTAGGCCTGGGATGAAGGGCTACCAAGTTTGTAAATATGACTTTTTAAGGTCACATGGGTAAATTGGGTAAGCAGCTTCTTCTCGGTAACCAAAAGGGCAAGGGTCTTGATATGCTATAATTATGATATCAGTAAGGTACCATTTTTCTAGTTCTTGTACATGAATTTATGGAAATTACTGTAGCAAGGAGAGGTCCATTTACATTTCTGAGTATTCGGGAAAATAAATCAACATTATGTAAAAATCACGTCAGAATATGAAATACAGTAAGGACATCTACAAGCCGACAGTCGATGGCAGAAACCGTCCACCATATATAACCTTTAATACACAGGCGTCGTTTTAACACTTATTGATTGAAACACTGCTGTTGTAATTTTCTCACAAAGCTAAAGGTCAGAAAGAGTCGATGAGAGAGATCGTTGTCGCTATTTACATAATACGCCATCTTCTACTGACATGTGTTTGTAAAGTTTTGATCAACACAATAGGGTTATCATTTTAATTGCTGTTGAAATGTCTTCACACTGATTCAAAGGTCAGCTTGAACGAGTTTAATCTGATATACTTTGTTATCACACGGGTCTCTCGTGTGTCAAGTTTTATTATTTAAAACTACTGATTTTTAATGTTTAGAGTTACTTTTAATATTTTACTGAATCATTCAACTAGAATTGTTTTATCTTTAAATCATATTCATGTAAAAAAATCGCCTTTCGTTGATTAGTTGCACGTTGTTAATGTGAATGTTCTATGTTGAATGTTTTTCAATCTGTGTTTTTAATAAGATGTCTTCGTCTTTTAAAGTTAAAGTCAACATTTGTTAAAATGGCACTGACTTTTTGATACGTTTGGGTCCTATTAGTTAGTATCAGTTTGTATCATTACAAAACATAATCTTAAACAATACGTTACAGATGTAAAATACCAGGATATGAAAACGACACTTGGGCTGTTCAAGGCAGTTACCATTCCAGCCTCATCAACTACACTATTCCCGATTCTGAGGATGATTTCTACGACTACGACCGATGTCATATGTACAAGTATTCCGGTAACACCACGGATACTATCAGGACGAGGTGTTCCGCATACGTGTACGATAAAGAGATATTTGACGAGACCATCGTTACAAGGGTAAGGCCTGTATACTTTCGGAAACTTCCAATAAGTCAGTATGCTGGTAAACATGGCTTTCTGAAGTGGTTGTTAAATATTGGTGAATTATTGTCCGATAATAATGCGGATTCAGGAATATTCCTGACATCACAATAATGCTTCATTTAAAAAAAAAAAATTCTTTTGTAATACCAATTTTCTTTCATATTTCCCTCAAATATCCAGATGTTGAACTGTTGACAATTCCCCGACATGTTCGTTTCATGCTGACTTGGTGATGTAAATTGATTGTCTGGACTTCTCCGGGAAGTCGATTTGTGGATACGAACCCTGCAAAAAACTGGAATCATAAAATATGTTCCGTCGACTTTCGATAGTATATTGATTAGTCATGTGACAATATAATCTACAAAACATAAGGTTGAATCATTTCTAAACAGAGACACAAATAATAGGTCTTTTAAGACTGGTGCAGTGTGTTCATTTCTATGGAACATCTCTATCGACCAAATTTTTTTTACAAAAAGTGGAACTTCTAAAAACCGTGAATATTCCAAAGTGCTGTTCCGACTTTATCTGAACCGCCCGAATTTCAATTTAGAATTCATTATGTGTATCTGTATCGTTTCAGGGAGACCTTGTTTGTGAACAAGGCATGAAGCCAGCTCATGCACAAGTCGTATTTTATGTCGGTGTCATGATTGGTGATCTTTTCTTCGGACAGTTATCAGACAGGTGAGTTATCAAATGGACTATAGTAGTTATCTTGGAGGGAAAATGTGATCTAAGATATTATGACTCAGATAACTTCCGAGATCCTTAAAGATAAGATGAGGGCAAAGTTTAACGGTCGTCATAATGATTCATTGGTAATCATTCTCCTTGTGCGGTATCAAGTTGGAATGATTGATGCTCGTTAGTTTGCCTTGTTCCAATATTGTTTAACTTGTTTTCAGTTGAGTACGTGACACCAATGCGGTTGTCGTTGAAAACGCTTACTCTTGTAGAACACATGGTCTTATACTTATTGTACTTTTTCAGGAGTCTGCGTGTAAATCTTGTTTTCATTGATGTGCTGCCCTAGTTTTGAATTATGATTATGTTGACATGTTGGTATTTTATGGATGTTTTGTTCGCTAAGTCTTATGTATATTAGTTGTGCTATTCAACAACAGAATTGATATGGCTATGATTCAGCTCGTGCTCAGTCGAACTTGTACATACTGTCAGTATGTCAATATGTGAAAGCGCTGATTGATATGCAATGCGAATTTACCTTCATTTGAATTTTTTCAAGATAACACCAACAGTGCTGTACGAATATTATATCTCTAATAGTTTTGATAAATATTCATTGAATGTAGATTTATGATAAGAAACTACAGGCATCGGCCCGATCACTACTTAATTGCAATATATCCATATATGGAAATCGTATACTTGAATTCGCATATAAAGGCTTGATCATATCATATGCACTTTATCCTTTTCATTCTCTATCTTGGCAATGCTTCACTTTAGTCCCATGAGCGAAGCGTTCGCCTGAAGTGGGGAACACCGTCATCTTTACAACAGAACAAGTATTAGTCAATAAAAAGGGTTCTTTCGTCATACGACGCTTGGTGTTTAAATTCCAATAGTTGATGATAAGGACTGTTCCTTCTTTTTCAGTGTAGAATAGCTAGTTCCATGACTTCGGGCATGGTTATATTGACATTTCATTGTGATGGCACTGTAAATAACTGTAACAGCTATATTTCAATTCAGATTGCTGATTAAAAGACACAAGCTAAATGATAAAATCAAACAAATATTTTTCCCGTTTTGTTTTACAGTATAGGTCGAAGTAAGACCTTGTTGATCACTTCTATTATCCTTCTGCTGTCCTCTGTTGGTACGGCCTTCGCCCCAGACTTCTACAGCTTCACAGTCCTCCAGTTCATCGTGGGCGCCTCTAACCATGGCATGTTCGTCCTTGTCTGTGTCCTCTGTAAGTACAATGTCCATCTTGTTACATATAATTGTACGTGTTCGTCCTTCTCTACGTCCACTGTAAACATATGTCTGTCTTGTTATATATAACTGTAAGTGTTCGTCCTTGTTTGCGTTCTCTTCAAGTATATGTCTGTCTTTAAACATATATTGTACGTGTTCGTCCTTCTCTACGTCCTCTGTAAACATATATCTGTCTTTTTATATGTAACTGTACGTGTTCGTCCTTGTTTGCGTTATCTGTAAATATGTGTCCGTCTTTATATATATATTGTACGTGTTCGTCCTTGTCTGCGTCCTCTGTAAACATATGTGTCTTTTTATATATAACTGCGCGTATTCGTCCTTGTTTGCGTTCTCTGTAAGTATATGTCCGTCTATATATATATATATATATTGTACGTGTTCGTCCTTGTCTGCATCCTCTGTAAACATATGTCTGTCTTTTTATATATAACTGTACGTGTTCGTCCTTGTTTGCGTTCTCTGTAAGTATATGTCCGTCTTTATATATATATATATATTGTACGTATTCGTCCTTGTCTACGTCCTCTGTAAACATATGTCTGTCTTTTTATATGTAACTGTACGTGTTCGTCCTTGTTTGCGTTCTCTGTAAGTATATGTCCGTCTTTATATATATATTGTACTTGTTAGTCCTTGTCTGCATCCTCTGTAAACATATGTCTGTCTTTTTATATATAACTGTACGTGTTCGTCCTTGTTTGCGTTCTCTGTAAGTATATGTCCGTCTTTATATATATATTGTACTTGTTCGTCCTTGTCTGCATCCTCTGTAAACATATGTCTGTCTTTTTATATATAACTGTAAGTGCTCGTCCTTGTTTGCGGTCTCTGTAAGTATATGTCCGTCTTTATATATATATTGTACGTGTTCGTCCTTGTCTGCGTCCTCTGTAAACATATGTCTGTCTTTTTATATATAACTGTACGAGAGGTAGGTTTTCGCTAAATATCCCTGTTTCTTTAGGTATAGAACTGATTGGTCCCTCAAGGAGGATGGTAGCCGGGGTGTCAATACATGTCCTATTTCCGTTTGGCCTTTTCTGGCTAGCCGCTGCAGGCTACCTCTTCAGAACCTGGTGGGCTATTCAGCTGGCGGTCGGCGTACCATGTGCTATCTACGTTGCTTACTGGTGGTGAGTTATTTATAGTCTTTACCTATTGTTTTTTATACTATTGTATTATCTCCATCATAACATGTACTGCCTGTTAATTTTAACATTTTGGCAAATGCGCAGATATTACTGACAAACAGTGCGGAGACAACGATGAAAGTACGACGAAAATATGACAGAACAATAACAGACAATAGATAACCCAAGGAGACAATAAACACGGAATAAAAGTTATGGATTAGTGATCCGACAGTAAAAACAATGGCGACCAGGACGGATGTGAACTGATTTTCTTCTTAAAAATTGTTTTCTTTCTAAAATCTTTCCTAATCTATCCTATTCTGTTAGATATATATTTGACTAACTCTTTATAATCTGCTATAACATACATTTTGGCTTGAAATTGATGTTCCTGTAGTATTGTTTATGACACATATTTAGGTTTTTTTTTATCAAGAACGTATTTAACTCAATTTTCATGTCTTCTGCAATAAGGAGGTGTTTGATTCAACCTGCTAGTCCTCTGCCTTGAACTTATAATTGACTCAACCTTTTAAGCTTATGTATCTATCACATGTTTGACTCAACCTTCTATTCTTTTGCAGAAAGAGATGTTTGACTCAAACGTCTAGTCTTCTGCATCAAATATCAAAATTCAAAAATATGTATGTCTCGAACTTCTAGGTCTTAAACAACCAAATGTTTATCTCAAACTTCAAGTTTGACTCAAGCGTCTAGTCTTCTGCATCAAATTTGTTTGACTGAACCTTCTGGTCGTCTATAAATATTTGGATTATCCTGACTCCTAAATTTCGTTGGAATTTTTTTGGCATTTCGATAGTATGGTTTTAAATCTTTGTCTCTATACCGTCTTCCGTGCACGAGAGTGTGGAGTGTTGCCCCGAAAAGATGATATCTTGCTAGCTCTAACCGTAATTCATTCCTCGCACATATTATGACATATGGTTACATACCGCCAAGAGTCTAAAAAGCGCCAAAAATCACATCTGATAACAAGAAATCGATAAAAAGATTGTATCAAATTCAAAACTAAACGAGTTTTCATTCCTATTTTAACATCAGGTCTCTGAGATTCATTTAACTAAGCTGGGAAAACAAATGAAACTTAATCAACCATCTTATGATTTATCGTAAGATCATCAAGTATGGATTTCAGGAAAAGAGTTGTGAATTCAGTCGTTGTTCCATACATGTATTTAGGACACTAGTATTAGATGCCTCTGTGTGACAAATAATAAATCTCTGAAGGCGAAAGCAGGAGTTCGAATGCATCAGCGGTCTTGTTCATACAGTTGTAAAGGTTTCGTCAAAGATTGGAGTTCCAGTTATTTTTTAACAAAGTCAAAATTATCAAAACACAACGAATGTTAGTGAAGTTGGTCAGTATGCGTAACCTTTAATATAACATCACAGAATGGCTTTAAATTAGGGCAATCCATATTGGTCAAAATGACCTTCACCTTAGGTTGCAATGCTTGAATAAAAAAATGCTTGCCTGGCATTCTTAACAGAATGACTTTGAACTAAAACAAACTAGACGGAGCTACATGCAGACGAGATGACCTTGGCCTCTACAGAGAAGTGTTAGACGGACAAACGAGAAAGTAAACGGACAGACAACTGATTCTAGAGGCTTGACGATGGCGCGATCTTATAGATTTTACTATGTAGCCAACAAGGTCGTGGCAACCATCATCACACCTGTACCCCAGTACACTTATAACATATGCAGATTATCTTATATACTGTAAAGGTGGCTTACACATATCATGTCAAAACAGCTCACAGTAATCATACCAATTAGCTATATGTATGCACGCAATTACATAAACGCACAAAGAGACCCGAACAGACATTTAGTTCTAATAACAAAAAGACACGCATTGATATCAAATACCGACACCATACACAGAAATATCATGATACACAACATATTCATGACAGCAGTAACGCACACTGTAACACTGTAATAATGACATGAAGTGTGTCGAATAAAAATGAAAACACATATCATGTGTACACATGCATTGATAACATTCCAGCTCCCATCACAGCAATATTTGAAAATGAAAAATGCACAATACCATTCAAACCATACATTTAGGTGCGACTGCCACAAGCCGACGCCTCTGTTGATACATAGATAAAATCTAAAATAAAATGAAATGAAATATGATTGCAATGGAAGTATTCCTTGTATAGTTTAAATGCAAATCCAAAAATTTAATTATTGTTGTATATTTTCGGTTTACTTATACGTGGAATCTTTCGTCTCTCACATTTCATAGTGGAAAACCTTAAGATACATAAAATCTGGTGAAAGTTTACATCATGTGTCCATCATAACTATATTACTCTAGTTGATCTCTAGTTTTTATATTAATTATTTCAACGTTACACAAATCGCACATTCATTTTTGTCCTCGTAGAAATCATAAAAAATGTTAACTTAATCGAAATGTACAAAAAGGTGCATAGAATCTGACACGATAATCAAAAGAAGTCAGATATACAATGGCGTAGACTTTGGATCAAATTTAACGAAACGAAGTATCATGTCAGCTCGAAAAAAAATCTACTAAAAGGTATTAGATAAGCTATGGTCTACATGTAACTAATTTATTGACTAAGATAATTGAGTACATGTAGGCTGATGAAGAAATTAAAGTGACGGAAATGCTACTATAAAACTTAAAGAAATATCTCTGAATATCAAAACGGCGAAGTTGAATATAGAACTGGCAGAAATGCTTTTCTATAGTGAAAATGCTGTAAAAGTAGAACGGGTAGGAATACATTTGTATTACTTGATAGATAAAAAGACTACTGAGATGGTTAGATGGATTCATTAGAAAAAGATAAGCTTGAAATACAAATGCAAGTGTTATGGTCAGATGGACTGAGTAGAAAAGATAAGCTTGAGATACAAATGCTAGTGTTATGGTCAGATGGACTGAGTAGAAAAGATAAGCTTGAGATACAAATGCAAGTGTTATGGTCAGATGGACTGAGTAGAAAAGATAAGCTTGAGATACAAATGCTAGTAAAATGATCAGATGGACTCAATAGAAAGAGACAAGCTTGGAATAAAAATGCTAGTGAGATGGTCAGATGGATTCTGTAGAAAAAGATTAAGATACAAATGCTAGTGATATGGTCATATGGATTCCATAGAAAAAGATAAGCTTGGGATAAAATGCTAGTGATATCGTCAGATAGACTCTTTAGAAAAAGATAAGCTGGGGATAAAATGCTAGTGATATGGTCAGACGGACTCTGCAGAAAAAGATTGAGATACAAATGCTAGTGGAATGGTCAGATGGACTCTGTAGAAAAAGATAAGCTTGTGATGAAATGCTAGTGAGATTGTCAAATGGGCTCTGTAGAAAAAGACAAACTTGGGAAAAAATCTAGTGATATGGTCCAATGGACTCGGTAGAAAAAGATATAATTGCAGAAAAAGATTAAGCCTGAGATCAAAAACATTAAAATGATGATTTCAAATCATGAAAAATAAAATTGAATTGTTACGTATAAAAAGACATTGCTGAAACTTGAGAAAATTTCATATCAATGTAGCTTGAACAGACATAGGGCATTTATCAAAGGGTTATGTAAATCAAGCTGGCATTTATTTGTTAACAACCCATGGCAGTAAGTTGTAAGTTTTACAAATTCAGGTTATTAAATAGAGGACACTGACAAACTTTCAGCAGATTTACTTTACGACAAGCGTTATTTCCACGTCCATGTACGCCCCTTAATTTTTCAAGAGTTGAAGAATTTCATTGTTTTCAGACGGTGCTTAATAGAGGGTTATACGTTCATTATCTTCTTATATCTTGGCGATGTGATTCTTAACGTATGGGGATGAAATAATTCCGGACGCTGGGCAAGTTCTCCAGGAGAGCTACCCAGGCTAAGGCGGATATATCGTTACAGGTAAATGGTACAGGTAAGATTAAGACTGATGACGTCACGCACGTAAGTGTTGTTTAATCATTGTTGTTTTTGTTTCAGATTTCACTTTGTAAAACACTGCTTAAGAACCAGACCTCTATGGAATTTAAACTTATTTTTATGTCGATACAGACTGCTAACATTGAAAGTTGTTCACGAATACAAAATGACAATATTTTAACATGCCATTACAGTTAACTACAAAAATGTTTTCTTTCTCCAACTAAATTCGGCTACACCCAAAAGTCTATTGATGTGCGTATATTAAGCACGATTTGTAAATTGGTTCCAAAGACCTGGTTGCTTGACAGTGTTAAATAACTACGAAATTGTATTGTTTACTCGATATTTGTGAACATGACTTATTGTAATCTATTATACGGTCTAATGACTATTTCGTTTCAGTTCAAACGAAGAAAGATTTCAACTCATGGTAATATTACATATAGCATACATTGTAGTTATATATTTATACAAAAAAATATGTGCACCTGTTTAAAAACTATAAACAAAAATATCAGTAGACAATAGGTGTAACATATAAAGCGAAGACATTATAACAATGAGTATCAGACGTTCGTCAAAAACACTAATGTAATCTTCAGACAAAGCTCGGATTTAAATCATTAAGTACATAAAACACACGGAAGAAATATCGATCACTTTTACAAGGGATGACGACATCCTTGAATTCCATGTATATCATATACAAGCTTATTATAAAGAAGAAAAACATGAAAATACCAACATGACAAGAAAATCTTAATTACAAATAAATTAAAAGTAAATATTGTTACCTGCAGCCCCACAAAAACACGAGGATAGTTATCACAAGTGTTTCGAAAGGAAAAGCGTCTTCTGTTTCATCGACGACACCTGTCATGTTGATATTAGACAATCCAAGTACGCAATATCACGTCCTTAACTGAGAACAGGGGTTGTAGTATCTACATAAACAGAACTTTATCAATTCAATTTATCGATTTTGTTGTTTACTTGCAATTTAACATTGAAATTACTTTAAAATATTGTTAAGATTTTCTGTAGCATACTAAAATAATAGACTACAAAATCACAGTTCCTCTTAAACTAAGTATAATATAAGAGGTAAAATGATTAATACTATCGGTTTATGTAAACATCTTACATTAGGTCGGTACAAAGTATGAAACAATAGTAGATAACCCGATACATTGCTAATTGTAACTGTTCATGAGTGATACCTGCACAAGAAAAGATTCTTCAAATTAAAAGGAAGTGCTAATAATACACTCATTATCGTATATGGTGTATCGGAATAAAAATTAATTTTGGATTTTTATTGTCCCCTCTCGCTAGCTTATTTCATGTCCGAGACTAATTAACGTCGAACAATATCAATCGTCAATAAAAAGTAGCTCTCACTATATAAAATATATTTTAGTCTTGATGTTAACGTGGGGTTACATTTGAAGTCGCATCATTTATCATAAACACAAATACAAGCCGTGCTCTCCATCTGAACACACCTACGGAATTAGGGAGGGGGGGTTTATCAATACGACAATACAGAATTCTAAATCATCTGATCATCATGAAATATTTGCCTTTTATCAACAGTTTTTATCGCAATTAATCTAACAAAATTGACTCATTCCAGATGTGCACTGTCAACAACCTCCGAATTTTACTATTTCACTGTTATTCTCTAGAAGATTTAAGAAATATTCACAGTACAACGCATGGGATACAATGCAAAACAAAGCTTAACGGAATTATATGTTTACTTCGCAAAACCTGATATCCCTAAATTAAGAAATGTCTTTATCTCGTAAATTAAGAAAGTCAATTTTTGACCTGTCACTTTAATTGTTGTATTTAGAGCAGAAATTTACAGAAGTTATTACTGAAATTTTATCACTTGTGATATCACTTATTGTTTGCATTATTGAGCCATGCGTGATGTATATGTATCATTGTATATTACATATAAGTATTTTGTAATTGGTAATTAAGAGTCCATGCATTGTGACTGGAGAGTGACTGCGAACTGTTATCTTGTAGGCTGATGCCCGAATCCCCAAGATGGCTCATTAGTCAAGGAAAGTATGGCGAAGCTGAACAGATTCTCAGAAAAGTCGCTGAAAAGAATGGGACACAATACCCTGAGAAGTATGACTTGAGTCAGTTAGAACAACACAAACCTGGCCGCATGTGGCAGTTGTTTACACACAAGACTCTTGCATGGAGGACCTTGATCATCTTCCTCAACTGGTAATGTTCGTTTCTTGTCTTCCCTCCTGATCTTACAACGGATTCTTTTACATGCAATTGCATTGCTTTGATTAAATCGATGACAGATGCCTGGTTGATTTTGGAACTTATCAGAAAAACAAAATGGCTTACAGGCGGCCGTCTTTCTCAAATTTCTCTTGTAGATTTACTTGGTTGTTCTGGGCTCGTTTGAATTTTCGACTGATTTTGTAAAAAGCTGGTATGCAGCCATCTTTGATTTTGACAACGAGAGTGTGTTATCACTATATTATTTCAGAAGTGCTGGATGGATCTGTCTCAAAATGTAGATTTGTCTTAAATTCTGAAATTGCATATAATTTAGAGCAACAACAGAGGAAAGAAAAGAAATGCAAAGAAAGGAAAAATTAAACATTTAGATAACAAGTAAAGATCAAATAATGATGGGATCGCTTGTTTAAGGGATTCAGCTAAATTTCTGCCTCTCGTTTTATCGATGTTTAGTCACAATTTCGGTGCAATATCGGTTTCAATATTCATATAGTGCTCTTATTTTGGAAACAGGTTTTCTATCGCTCAGATTTACTACGGTGTCACAATTCATATGAAGAATCTCGGAGGAAACTTCTACTTCAAGTTCATTATGCTGGCGTTGGTTGAGATTCCTGCTGTGGCCATTACTCTTTTAATGTTGTCCAAAATTGGCCGAAAGAAGGTGCATGCTTTTTTCATGATTCTCGCCGGTGTTTCGTGCCTTCTCACTATCTTCACGGTAATAATAGGAGGTCCATGTGAGTATACCTTACCAAAAGGAATGCCTTTTATCATCAACTATCTGCCAACAAAGAACGATCTTATCATTACTATTGTTTTCTATCTTACCTAACCCAGCTCTCATTTAGAGAACGTGACATTACTTAGTTTGACACGAACTTATGATTTTCGTGTATTATTTTCTTGGTTATAATCTCCACTCGTTGTATTTTGATATGGTTTATGTAGAAGTAGATCATCAGCTTGCTGTGGTATGCATATTGTTTACATTTCTATGGCAGCCTTTGAACCAGCGACATTGGCGTTGTGTTGTTTGGGAAAATTGGGCGCAGCAGCTGGATTTTCAATTATTTACGTCTACTCGAGCGAACTTTTCCCGACTGTAGTACGGAATGGTGGCATGGGGGCCAGTTCTTGTGTGGCACGGTTTGGCAGTATGTCTGCGCCTTACATCGCTAAGATTGTGAGTGGTCTCTTATCAACATCACCATATCTGTGACATTTGAGATTATTTAAAAAAAAATAAAGGTATCACATTGGTAAAAAACTATAAGAAAAGTTTCACATATATGCTGGTTAAATATCTACTTGTAATGATATAATACCTTTTGATTGATTGTACATGTGTAGTTTGAATATTGCGTTTAGCGGGTACTCTTCACCTTCTCACTATGATTTGCTTACAGGGTGACTCAGTTGGTAGTATGTATGGACAAGCTATCCCTCTGATCGTGTTTGGACTTATAGCTCTGGCGGCAGGCACACTAACATTGCTACTCCCGGAAACCTGGAACAGACGACTTCCGGATACCATACAGGACGGGATACGCTTTGGAAAGTAAGAACTTGTTAATTGATTTGAAATATTATAATATCGATATTATCGAAAACAATGTCGCGTAACAGGAATTTTAGCTGTAATGAATATGGATTAATTAAGAGAAATAGTATTGGCATTTCAATAAAATTATACGGAGGCTCAAACGTGTATGTAAACTCTCTTTGGTAAGCTAGATAATCGTTATTACATTGTATGATATTATAGTCGAATTGTGAACAAAATGTCTAAGATATTTACATCCTGATACTATTAAACGTATGGTATAAAGACAGTTTTGTGCTAATATTATCTTATGTCATTGAAATATTTTTGGCTGAAAAATCAGGAAACATTTGCGAAAAATAAATAACTCATCATTAGGCATGCTTAGTGAAGACAAATTGACGTTGCTAGAGTGTTAACATTAGGCATTGACTAGAATTCTATACAAGTACGCAGACTTGGGGAAATATACACTGGAGACGGAAGTTATTGTGAAACTTTTCTTATGGGAACGAATTCATAGAATTTGATACGTGCCCTTTACATTAGTAAAATAGTGAATTAATTGACATTTTTATCCTATAAGTAAAGAAGAATGGTTACCGTCCATGTAGATTCATATGTTAAGATATTTAACTGATGTATATATACGTCTTTCTGTCCGCCCCTTCGGCTAATTGTTTACATTAATACAAGGTGTTAGCTTGTTTTAATAGCTGCTTTTCACTTTTGTGTCTTTCTCACAATCTCCACCACCCTAATTAGCAGTTGCCAAGACTTCAGGTTTTCGTATGAAAAAAAAAGATTTGAGATTACAATCACGTATTTTCTCTCATTGAATTATTAACAAACTATTATTGTGTGTCGAAAAAAAGAATCCGTTGTCTTCCAATGTTGTCAGAGTTTAAAATCCTCTGTCGAATTTAAGACAAGATTTTACGTCGTGTGTTGACACAGCAGTAAATGTTTGATTGGCCTTTGTGTGGTATTCTCGGGTTGGTTTCCTCTTACTGTGTTAAACATCGTGGTATTATAGTCATTTTTTGTTCACACAAAGATGAACTTTGACCTTGACATAGAATGTCATTGACTACTTTTTCATTGTATGATGATGCTAATGTCTCCTTGTCCATTGTGTTCTGAGAAACAAGGGGGGTTGGTGAGATTTCCTTTCAGTGTGAATTCTACTATTGTCTAATTTACAACGTGAATTCAGTGTTAAAATTTAAATAACATTTTAAAACTGTGTTTACATTATACTGATTGTTATAAAGTATGTTGACGGTACGAGTGTGTTTTTTCTGTTTTAAAGAGAATTTGACCAGAACAAGAAGGACTATACGGAAGGATGCGATGAAGAATCCATGCAGGCTAAGGAGTTGACCTCAAATGGAACAGATTCTTCCGGAAGGGAGCAGCCTGCAGAAAATAAATCTCTCCTCTAAATTTGTTGAATATCAGCAATGCAATTTCATTACTCAATACATAGAAAATTCCATGATGTTGCTTTTAATTGCTAGTGTTACGTGTCCATTCGGAACGACTTCGGGTTTTTACATTACGTAAGAGTAGTCGTATTGAACTGAAAGCATTGTAAACACTCAGGTATTTGTTTGTATTTTAGTTTTAAAACGAAACTCAAAAGATTCATATATAATAGCAGAAGCTAAATGCGCGTTGTACTTTTAATTATTTGTTAGGTAACCTTACGATAGAATATGCTTGCTGCTCCATTTTTGCTTTTTTGTGATATATAGTTAAGATTGTACTTCAATGAATAACTGATGTCAATCTGATTAAAATCATATCTGTATCTGCGTTTCCCGTGCCGTAGCAGATTGTTGTTTACGGAACCCGAGTACAGATTAGAGTAGGATTTTTAGTAGATTGGACTGAAACACTTTCTGAACACCACTTTTAAGAAAGTAATCTACAATACATTGTTTCATTTTCATTTATCAAAACTTATCACCAGAACACGTGAAATAAGTGTTATAAATTTGTCTGCGTACAATAGTTGCTTCTGAGACGATGTTCCTGTTTTAGAGCAATACTTTTTATTTCTCTTTCCTCAACTACCCACTCTTCCAGACCCCAACTAAGCACCTGGCAAATGCGAACTTACATAGTTGTATATTATATAAAGCTCACTACAAATATAACTTTAAGATGTTAACTTTTAATATCAAGGAAATGAAAAATCAAAGTTGAAGGTATTGATGTAGCAAACCATTTTAGATGAACTGCAGAATATGGTTTTCTTCGTTTTTACCTGAAGGTTGTGTACGCGTTGAAACCCAATTACTGTTATCTTTCATGATCATTTGGACATTTGAGATCACGCTATTACTATGATCACTGAATGTTTCGAAACTTTTTCTCATAGTTTTTTTTAAATGTAGTATTATGCACACGAGGATTAATGTATCCAGTTCTGGCCAACTACATGTTTACGCTTGTCGTTGTACACAATTATAAACGAAACGAAATCATAACAACAAAATTGAGTATGATTTTAGTTACAGACAAGGCGTTAACGCCGGTGAATTTATCATGACCATATATGGAATTGATTGCAGATGTTGTACATACCTCTTATTTTTTCATTACTTTTATACAGTATGTAACCAATTTGTTTATATTCGCATACTAAATAAATGTATCGTTACACGAGTATGCTGTGGATGTATAATATAATGTGTCGTTTAAAAGTTGCGTGTCTTGAATTGTAAACCGATACCAAATATAGCATTGTTTATGTAACAGTATTACATGGTCGTAAATAACATAATCTTATTATATTTACTTATGTGTCTTTTGTACTATCTTCGTGACTGTAAATGGTAGAACACTTCTGGTGAACTTTAGATTCCCGAGGTTTTCCATAACATGTATGACACGTTTTTATTCAATCGAATAGTGCAGTTGCATGTTGCAGATTACGCGCTTTTATTTTACTGTATTCTAAAATCATCAGGTGTATGAAATTGACGCAACATATATTTAATTTATGGGTTAGTATAACAACAAACAAATAACAACCATCTAGATTTTGACATTTCTTTCGATCACATTGGATTGTCCTCAGTCGCCTTCAAGGCTTAAAAGTTAAGGTTCTGAACATCACTGAATAGTCATTGAAGGACGAAACAGCTGTATGATGCAGTTTTATTCAATGATTGACGCTATTGTATCTAACTCTAAATTTGTAATAAAATGTGTTATTCACTTGTGTGTTTTTTTAACAATCCTCTACGTCAACACATATGAAAGAATTTTCAGAATATACTACCTTAATCATAAGACCCAAGTGCTAATTGATATCGAGTTCAGTATTTGAACGTGAGAAATATTAAAATTTCACGTATAATTGTTATCTTCAGTATTTTTGCTGATTATGGTAGTATTACGCATGTCAAAATTACTTCGCACAGTGCTCATTCAATACATGAAATGAATGTGCCGAAACTATACAGCATTTCGAAAACCATGTCTTATCGCTCAGGCTAACTTGTATATTCTTTTGATTATACAATCGAATGATATTTTGGAATAATTTGTCTCAAACAATGGTTATTTTGTACATGTGAAGAATGTTGTTCGTACAGTGTATAGTTGTCATGTATCTTTTTACCCACTTGTGTCCCAACCTTTACAGTAACCCAAGGATCAAGTATAAGGTTTTTATCCATTGTTACTCTTTTGGTCATTTAACGACGTCGTGTACTCTACGAGGTTCTGATTTAGTCACAATGATATGGATGTAATGATAACAATACTTTATACTTATTTTATACGTAATAATTACTATAGTAATAAAAGGATATCCGATTACCTGCTGTATTTCCATGGTAATCATAACCCGGACTCTTAACTCTGCATAATAAGTAACTTTATAATTATTAATAACCCCGATGGTAAAAATGTATACAGTCAAACCTGCCTATAAAGGTCAACCAAACGTGTAGACAAAAGTGGCCTTTGTTCACAGCTGGCCTTGATATAGAGGTTCAATTACTTTGAATTGCATTACACAAGTAACTAAAAAGAAGCATTTAAGACAGATGGTCTCTGTATAAAGGTGGCGTGTAAGACAGGTGGTCTCTTTATAGAGGTGGCGTGTAAGACAGATGGTCTCTTTATAGAGGTGGCGTGTAAGACAGGTGATCTCTGTATAAAGATAGACTTTAAGACAGATGATCTCTGTATAAAGATAGGTTTTAAGGCAGGTCATCTCTTTATTAATATGGCCTTTTATGACAGGTGTTATTTGTATATAGCTAGCCTTAAGGCAGATTTGACTACAATTACTAATGCCAGGATGTTATTTCTTTACTGTTACTATATTATGGTATATACCTTATGATAACCATTGTTTCTATAATTTCTATAACTATAAGTGGTTTCTATAAATAAGTTGTGAACCTTTGACGTCTATCACTAGTGATACACTATATTTAATATAGTAGTATGAAAAGGTTGCACAATGTTTTGCATGGTAACAAAAATACTGGTACATAGATTCCGTTAACAAATACAGTAATTTATGCATGGAGTGTCGTTTCCGTGAAAACTTTGTGAGCGTTTTGCGAGAAAGGTAGGTGGTGCCCCGTTTATCAGAACTTTTCTTTTATCTTAATAATGAACAAGTTTCAAAATTAGAATAGTCGTTCACCAATGTGCGACTTTTTTCTAAACTCTACATGGATATTATCATTAGTTTCGATATAGATACAAATTACTAATATACATTTCTCATCGTTTATATGTGTCATGATCTTTCTATCATTTGAGCAAGAGTGTTGTTGTATATGTGGGGCGTGTTTGTATATATTTGTAATTACAAATGCATGCGCTCTGACAATCATGCTTATTTCTGTATGAATCTACATAACCTTTTTCTTAGACTTTGTAATTTACATTTTACTGAATAAATTTTGTTATTCGTATTAAGAATTCTTTTTTAATGTTTTCCCCCTCTATTATAGCCATTCCAGAAGCCCGTCATCTCCAATTAGGGCATTATCCTTTATCTGAATGAAAACATAGTTTTATGGGTGAAATTAAGATGTTTATAACGCAGACATAACGTTGTTGTACCACAAAGTTGTACCCGTTGGCATTGTTTCGTAAGATGGTACCTATTGACAGTATAGTAAACAATGAATGTGTTGCCCGCCATTGTGCTATAACGTGGTACCTATTGGCTCTGTACCATAACATGACACTATTGACACTGCTTTAATGTGGCACATATGTACCATTCGAAAATTATGTTTGAAAAATGAATTCTTCATCATATTCCATCACCATAACGATACCTGCTGATTTCATGTTAACAACGAATATGATGTCATATGGTTATAACGTGGTAATTGCTGATATTGAGATAAGGCGTTATACTCGTTGGTATTGTTCTATAACTAGTTATCTGTTGAGACTTACATGTATAATGTGGTTGGTGTATCTGTTGACATTGTGGTATACCATGGTATGTATCTGTTAATATTGTGGTATACCATGGTATGTATATGTTGACATTGTGGTATGTATCTCTTGACATTGTGGTATACCGAGGTATGTGTCTGTTAACATTGTGGTATGTATCTCTTGACATTGTGGTACACCGCGGTATGTATCTGTTGACATTGTGGTATACCGTGGAAGGTATCTGTTGACATTGTGGTACACCGTGGTATGTATCTGTTGACATTGTGGTATGTATCTCTTGACATTGTGGTATACCGTGGTATGTATCTGTTGACATTGTGGTTTACCGTGGTATGTATATGTTGACATTGTGGTACACCGTGGTATGTATCTGTTGACATTGTGGTATACCGTGGTAGGTATCTGTTGACATTGTGGTACACCGTGGTATGTATCTGTTGACATTGTGGTATACCGTGGAAGGTATCTGTTGACATTGTGGTACACCATGGTATGTATCTGTTGACATTGTGGTATACCGCGGCATGTATCTGTTGACATTGCGGTTTACCGTGGTATGTATCTGTTGACATTTTTGGTATACCGTGGTATGTATCTGTTGACATTGTGGTATAACGTGGTATGTATCTGTTGACATTGCGGTACGTATCTGTTGACATTATGGTATACCATGGTATATATCTGTTGACATTGCGGTATACCGTGGTATGTATCTGTTGACATAGTGGTATGTAACTGTAGACATTGTGGTATACCGTGGTATGTATCTGTTGACATTGTGGTATACCGCGGCATGTATCTGTTGACATTGCGGTATACCGTGGTATGTATCTGTTGAAATTGTGGTATACCGTGGTATGTATCTGTTGACATTGCGGTATGTATCTGTTGACATTGTGGTATACCATGGTATATATCTGTTGACATTGCGGTATACCGTGGTAGGTATCTGTTGACACTGTGGTACACCGTGGTATGTATCTGTTGACATTGTGGTATGTATCTGTTGACATTGTGGTATACCGTGGAAGGTATCTGTTGACATTGTGGTTTACCGTGGTATGTATATGTTGACATTGTGGTACACCGTGGTATGTATCTGTTGACATTGTGGTATGTATCTGTTGACATTGTGGTATACCATGGTATGTATCTGTTGACATTGTGGTATACCGCGGCATGTATCTGTTGACATTGCGGTATACCGTGGTATGTATCTGTTGACATTTTTGGTATACCGTGGTATGTATCTGTTGACATTGTGGTATACCGTGGTATGTATCTGTATCTGTTGACATTTGACATGGTATATATTGACATTGGTATACCGTGGTATGTATCTGTTGACATGACATTGTGGTATACCGTGGTATGTATCTGTTGACATTGTGGTATACCGTGGTATGTATCTGTTGACATTGTGGTACACCGTGGTATGTATCTGTTGACATTGTGGTATACCGTGGAAGGTATCTGTTGACATTGTGGTACACCGTGGTATGTTTCTGTTGACATTGTGGTATGTATCTGTTGACATTTTGGTATACCGTGGTATGTATCTGTTGACATTGTGGTATACCATGGTATGTATCTGTTGACATTGCGGTATACCGTGGTATGTATCTGTTGACATTGTGGTATACCATGGTATGTATCTGTTGACATTGTGGTATACCGCGGCATGTATCTGTTGACATTATGGTATACCATGGTATATATCTGTTGACATTGCGGTATGTAACTGTAGACATTGTGGTATACCGTGGTATGTATCTGTTGACATTTTTGTTATACCGGGGAATGTATCTGTTGACATTGTGGTATACCGTGGTATGTATATGTTGACATTGTGGTATGTATCTGTTGACATTGTGGTATACCATGGTATATATCTGTTGACATTGTGGTATGTATCTGACATTGTGTATACATCTGTTGGTATACCGTGGTATGTATATGTTGACATTGTGGTGTGGTATGTATCTGTTGACATTGTGGTATGTGGTATACTGTTGACATTGTGGTATGTATCTGTTGACATTGTGGTATACCGTGGTATGTATATGTTGACATTGTGGTATGTATCTGTTGACATTGTGGTATACCTTGGTATATATCTGTTGACATTGTGGTATGTATCTGTTGACATTTTGGTATACCTTTGTAGGTATCTGTTGACGTTGTGGTATGTATCTGTTGACATTGTGGTATACCCTGGTATGTATCTGTTGACATTGTGGAATACCGTGGTATGTATCGGTTGACATTTTGGTATACCGTGGTATGTATCTGTTGACGTTGTGGTATGTATCTGTTGACATTGCGGTATACCGTGGTATGTATCGGTTGACATTTTGGTATACCGTGGTATGTATCTGTTGACGTTGTGGTATGTATCTGTTGACATTGTGGTATACCCTGGTATGTATCTGATGACACTGCGGTATACGGTGGTATGTATCTGTTGACATTGCGGTATACCGTGGTATGTATCTGTTGACATTTCGGTATACCGTGGTATGTATCTGTTGACATTGCGGTATACCGTGGTATGTATCTGTTGACATTGCGGTTTACCGTGGTATGTATCTGTTGACATTGTGGTATACCGTGGTATGTATCTGTTGACATTGTGGTATGTATCTGTTGACATTGCGGAATACCGTGGTATGTATCTGTTGACATTGCGGTATACCGTGGTATGTATCTGTTGACATTGTGGTATGTATCTGTTGACATTGCGGAATACCGTGGTATGTATCTGTTGACATTGCGGTATGTATCAGTTGACATTGTGGTATACCATGGTATGTATCTGTTGACATTGCGGTATACCGTGGTATGTATCTGTTGACATAGTGGTATGTATCTGTTGACATTGCGGTATGTATCTGTTGACATTGCGGAATACCGTGGTATGTATCTGTTGACATTGCGGTATGTATCTGTTGACTTTGCGGTATACCGTGGTATGTATCTGTTGATATTGTGGTATGTATCTGTTGACATTGCGGAATACCGTGGTATGTATCTGTTGACATTGCGGTATGTATCAGTTGACATTGTGGTATACCATGGTATGTATCTGTTGACATTGCGGTATACCGTGGTATGTATCTGTTGACATAGTGGTATGTATCTGTTGACATTGCGGTATGTATCTGTTGACATTGCGGTATTCTGTAGTACTCGTTGATATTCTTCATTTACGGTCATGTTTTCAGTCGCTTTTCACTAAGTTGTCACTTCTTAAACTCTTTTCTAAAGGTTTTACAGCAAATTTATTTGATAATGACCTGGATAAGTAACACTTTCTATGTGAATTTTCACATTAGATTTTACTTTTACATTTTTTAATGATTTGAAAAAAAAAACTGACTTTATTGTGTCGCATACTGCGAAGTTATTATCAGTGAGTAGTGCCTGTGAATAGCAGTCTGTTTCGGCGATCAGAAATATGCCAGCAGTTAGGCTATTTGGCTTAGGGAAATATAATACATCGGACATTTAATAGTGTCTTCAGTAATAACAAATATATTTCTCTCGTTTATCTCAGTTTTGTATCTTTCACGAGTGCGCATATTAGACACACTTGTGATATATATTTTTAAAATGAAGTCACTATTAAATCCTCTATATATTACTCAGGACATTTTTATGATTTTGTAGCGGTAAAGCACCAAAGAAAACCCCGATGTTAATTCATATCGACAGTTTGATGTTTTACATACCTCCAGCTTCTTTGAGATGAGGAAAGCCAGGTGTCCCAGAGAGTGAGCTGCAAATATTTTGTTACCATGGTTACGGCCTAACAACCAGCAAGTTTGTTCTACATTCATCACGTGAAGATATGGCAGACCCGAAGTATGTCATGGCACCTGGTATCTGAACTGGAATTGTCAGAGCTAATTTGATATGCCCCGACAATACATGAACCAAGACTGTATTAATCTACTTCTTTATACACACTAAATACATCTACTCGTCTCTTACATATACTGTTTACGTACCTACATACACGTCAACATCGTTTTTATCGACAAGATTCTGACTATATACATACCTACCCAAAAACGAAGTATCTCATACCATCTGTGATACAGTCGCTGTCTGACCTAACCTCATTTACCCACTCATTTGAGTTTACTCTTCTGTTTGTTCAGATGTTCATACCGGGAGAATCATACTTGTTAACGTGATGATCTAGTCGGTTACAATTAGTATTCTATGTGACCTGTTACACTATGGACGTGGTAGATATCAGCATTTAGAATAATTACTTACAAATGTTTGTTCGATAGGTAAATAGTATAGAAAAATGCTGTGAAAAAGATTTGGAAAACGACACAGATGTAATGTGCATGGAGTCAAACATGAAATTATTTCATATATTTTTTTTTACATATGATGTATAAATAGAAAAGAATATGAATGCTTGTATAATGATTGGTGTTCTACCAACAATGCGTAATACTACTTGGTTGATATTTCTATTTAAATATATGTTAGAATATCATTACTGTGCTGATGTTATCATGTTAAATGTATTCATTGTTTGATAAAACTTCCGGAATCCTGATGTCTTGTAATCTTGGTATATAGTTTTGTTATCCTACCGTATTTTTGTACCATATTGCGTATCGTTTGTATTTTATGTTATGTTTCAAAACTATGGCATTGTTTCGTGGTACAAAGTTTTATAGATAATCTAATATATAAGAATCAGTCAGTAGTCAGCTGTGTGTTTGCAAATACTTTCAAAATTTCAACACACACGAATGTTATACACAACTTATATGTGTATTTCTATGGTAGGTATTATCTATCACGTGATTACTGTTGCGATGAGGAAAACCAGCTGTTCCAGAAGAAGAGCAGTTGATATTTTGTTACTATACTAACGGTTCACTGCGGTTGACTTTTTTTCTTTTTTATTAAAGATGCTTTTCAGACGCGTTAACGCGTGCCGCGAGATTGAGAATTTGCTATGGTGTCAGATTTGCCATACTACAGATTCCTCCTCTACTATTTGAAAATTCTCAGAAACATGTACGCGTTATGTTATTGATATAAATTCTTTTTTGTAGTAGAGTTTCGAAAATGCAGGACAATCTTATGAAACTATTCCGCGATCCAACCTGAACTCTTTGGCAATTCTTTCATTAAGACATTTCAATGTTATCCTTATTGACACTTATATAAATGCATATGAAAAAAAGTATTGGACCTCAGACAGAATCTTCACCTAATTTCTAAACAAATGAATTTGTTCGAATGATAGCATGCCCCACAGGCTATAATAGGATCCACTTCACTAGGCTCCAATGTAATTCAAACCCTCGCTTTGATTCTTGTTTTCTTTCTTATATTTTTCCTTTTCAATTCTTTCCTTTTGTATATTGATAGTGGGTTATGATGTTGTTTCAAAGAATAGACAAGTTTTGAAAGGTTCTTGATGCCTTAATAAGGATGTATAAAAATAGAAATGCAATAGGTGTCAAAACAAAATGATTGACGTATTGAATCGGATATAACAGCATAGTGAAGGATCACTTTAAGAAAACTTCGGTGATATCATACAAAGTAACTTTTAGATATGTGCCTGTCTCTTTTTCTTACATTGTTCATTCACTGACAAATCTAAGATGAAAACGAAAATTGTTATATTATTCCGAGAAAAATAATCTTGTTGCGGTGTTGATGAAGAATCAGAATTCTTTCACAGGAACATTATGCCGTAACAAACTATTATAATATAATTTTACAATGTTAGCCTGCCTGGCAGAAAGATCAGCATGAAGCGGATGGTAAGCAACAATTTGGTGTCAAAACAGGGTTAAATTTAAATAACTCTTCATATCTGTAAACGTTTAAAGCAGAGAAAGATCAAGAAGCCAATTATCATCATCTACTGTTGACGTTTAGATAAACAGAGATTTATGTTCAACATATTTTCATTTTTAATACAATTAGTTTCTCTGTTATGTTACAGGTAAAAACAGTAATTCCTAGTCTCCTGTGCCCTCAGTCCTAATATATCTAAACACTTAAATCACCACTAATATAAGATGTATTAAACTGCCATGGTCTATTCATCATAGATTACAAAAAAACAATATTCTAAAACAACATTTCGAAATCTAACAAAGCAAAAAGTTTCGAATCGTCATTATACCGTTACATTGGGATCACAGGATAATTCCCGCCGTTCAGAGAAGACAGGACATATGTAAATATTTCCAAAGTAAACGGAAGTGTCTGTTTGTGACGAGATTTGGTACAAGAGTGTCTGTATTTGTATTTGAACATGGTTTGTTGACACGTTTGTGTACCTATTGACGAATTAGATATTAAATGTATGTTTTATTTATAGAACTTCAAAGACGTCTAAAAATTTGAAGTACTTTCATTTAATAAAACTGATGAAAAGAAATAATGCCAGTTGTAAAGTAAATATTACAGACGAACGCCTTTGCGTAGCTGTCCAATACAACCGGAAGCGTTTCCATATGTCCCTGTATCACACAAACCCTTATTTTAGAAAATGTTCAGAAACTCTGCGTACATTTAAAACTGTTTCAACAAATATGAATAATGGGATCACGCTGTAAATACCCTAGAACCCATGGGAAAACTTTATAATGTAGGTTGTTATACTCATGCAGCTCGTTTGGTCACCACGGCACGTATACAAGGAGGACAAGTTATGGCTTCTCAGGTATGTACACGGGGTATAATAAGGGTAATTTATAAAACTTTTATGTCCGGAATTTTTATTTTTATGAAGTAAATACAGACATGGCTAACTGCATAATTTGATTTTTATAGTACATTACCTGTTTTACTGTCTGGCTTTTCCCTTTGTAAAATGTAATGATTTATCCGGCCAATAGTTTGCTTGCCATTTCGAAATGCGTTTCACATCCAAAATTAAAGAACATTTACAACCACATGAAAGATGAAAACTGCTTTGCTGTGTTACCACAAGGCTTACGGTTATTTTTCTTGCAAGAATTGGGTTTATTCTAAGCCTACATCTGTATATTTTTACACGATTTCATTTCTGAACAAATGAGAGAATGACATAATTCAAACAGACTGATACGTTATTCGAATGTAAATAATTATTAAATAGGTATTGATATGATAATACTATTTTTATGTTAATGACCGTAGCGACGATGCAAAATCAGATGATCTGACCACAAGGGGACGTTGCACAAGTTCATTTGCTGAAATATACGCTATTTTATCCCAATATTTGGAAGGTCTGTTCTATGCACGTCATTTTGTTAATAAAGAGTTTCAAAGAAGCATTTATCTCTAGTTTAGTACTTTAATAATGCCAGCAACTTATCTGCTATTATAAGTTTTTATATATGTTATCGGCTTGCTAATGTGCAGTATATCGTCTAAATAGTCTGCATCCAAATAACGGAGTTTTGATTACCTCCCTTTGTATATGATGTTTTATAATGGTAAAACAGATGTACAGGATCTTACATGTGTTGTTATCTTATTTGACATATCATGGTAAGACGTCGATGATGATCTCTTATAAAATATGTATAATAATGATTATCGCCAGACTTAAAATTTTAGTTTTTGTGTGTATTTAATGGTATCAGATTCAAAAACTACTTTTAGAATGACGCATGTAGGCGGGTTATGTTTTCAGAGTTAATAAAGCACGAGTTGTTTCCCTTTGACCATTTATTGACAGTAGTCATGAACCATTGAACTTTCACCAAAAACCACTGGATTTTTATAGGACCTGCTGACAATCCATTTCACGTATTTGTTGATGTATAAGATTCTTTGCATTATATCAATTTGATACATGAACAAGCATTCATGAAAACAGCACTATTGGCACGATATCAAATCGAAGTAGGCGATATTACAATTCCATATCACTTTCGTTGTTGATGTCACTTCACATGAGACACTGAAGTTTTGATGTCATAACAGCGTGAATACCTAGCCATTCACAGCTCCACTATGTGTTACATATGTAATATGTTAATACAATGATACCAGGGGTTTTATGTGATAAATGCACTTTAAATCTATTTGTAATGAAATATTCTCAGTTATCCTAAAGGACGGAGAAATGCATTCTTTAAAGACATGTATCTCTTGTTTACAGGAAAATACAGAAAGTCAAGGAAAAGGAATAACTTCTTTCTTTAAGACTGCGTTAGAATATGAGGATTATAAAAGTGAGTCGGTCAGAAGTTCTTCTGAACTCAATAAACTATGTGTTACGGACTTAGTGTCTACATCTGATCCCAGAAAAAATACCCCGAGGAAATCAGATTTATCGGAACAAAAACCCCAAAAGATGCTTAATAGAATGACAGCACACATCCGTGTACAATCGCCAATTTTAGCAAGTGTTGTGAAATCCGACTGTAAACCTGCTCAGGAACAAACGAAGGTTTCCCCACCAACAGCTAAAATGTTGTCACTATTCCGTCGAGACAAAACAACTACTTCAGAAGAAGGCGACAGCAAAGAAGGTGGAAACATGATGCAGCTAATCAAACTCAGAAATATCGCCCGCAATGTCAAGAGTATACAGCACAATCGACAAAAACGCCTGGAGGATACTGGAAATGTGACACTGTACGACAAATTTAGAAAATTTGACCATAAAGAAGCGGAGGAAAGTATAAAGCATGTTCTAGAAGAAGCGCTAGAACATGTAGTTTATGAACCAAAACGATGTAAAGCTCTTTCACTTCAACTCAGTGATAAGATCAAAAACAATATAAAACGGCTCAAATTCCCCAGATACAAAATTGTATCATTCGTAACTATTGGACAAAAGGGATGCCAAGATGTTGTCATAGCCAGCAGGTGTATATGGAACACAGATGATGATAACTATGCTAGTGTACGATTTGAGAACAAGACACTCTTTGCTAATGCTATTGTGTTTGCCCTGCTTCATGAATAACATACAGTGCTTAGTATCAAAGCCCATAGTAATATAATTACGGATATGTTGTAAATGATATATTGAATGTAATGAATGAATATTGTATTAAATATTAGTAAAAATAGTATATCAGAATTTGCATTTGTCTTATCATTTTATTTTCTCTTTATTGGTAATAGAAGAATTAAACGATTGTATATGCCTAATGATTGGCTACTAACTATTACTGGATCAGATTGAACGATGAAAAATATGTTATAATGGTGAAACGTTCTGCCTGATGTTACCGGGCAAAATTCCGCTCCAACGTCATGGACGAAAATAATTCTGGGATTTCATGATGCATATAGTTTTTTCAATTCGAAATGAATCTTTATTTTCATTTCGAATTGACCAATTTGTTTGCTATGGCGGGTAATGAAAATCTCCAAAGGTCATTAAAACATCACGAAAAGCCGAGGAAAAAGTGAAATAATAATAATAAAAAATGTAGGGAGATGAGAAGAGGCTGCATTATGAAGGTCTTACTCTATGACGACTTTTTATAATACTTTTTAAACACAGTGTAGTTATTTTTATCGGACATGATAGTCACTTAATTATTTTGATACGTGTAAGTGTGTAAATTATTATCATAACAAAAACAAAGATTTTCGAAAGAACTCCCCAAGTAGTGGGGAAAATATGTATACCGACAGGTGTTAGAACAAACATCGTTTCTGCATTTGTAAACACGTTCAAGGCAAGTATATGCAACATCAAACTTTTTATGCACAATATGCAAAGATGACGTGATATGAAGAGTGCCATATACATTTTCTTCGCTTCGCTGGGCTCCCTGAAATAGTATCATCTGTTGTTCTGGCAATTCGATGGTGTATTTCACCGTGACAAAGATGACGTGATATGAAGAGTGCCGTCATAGGGAGATAAGTCATGCAACTTTAACTATTTTCCATAATTAAAATTGTGTATCTTTGAACAATATAGAATAAAATTTCAAATTATGAAATGTTTACATCCTAAAATATTCATATACCACTTAAATGAAAATGGAAAGTGATGTTTATCTTGCCCTAGACTTTAAGTTGTGCGTCATTTGGCCCCTTATGTCCCTATACACTGTATGATACCACAGGTGGGCCGAGTCCAAAGTAAGTAGTCAATATATCATGTTTATTTTAGAGCCAAATATGACCGAAAGAGTTTGAACTATATTGAATAGTCGATTTCTTTCGTAGAGTCTGCAAAATGTTTGATTATCAGTTCACTGAAGACGGTGCAACAGTTACAGTTAAAAAGAACGGACACGGACATTATTTTTACATTAAACTCGGTTATTGTGATCTGACCTTATATATGTATACATGATAGATCATGCATATCGCCATGAAATCAGCGTAACGCAGAACATAACAATCAGGTGACATAAATGTGTTTGAAATTTCAGACAATGATAACTTTATTTAGCCATTGTGGTCATAAGGCTACCCCCGTCTGAAAGTTTGGAAACATAAACATCAAAATGACAAGAGCATCATTAACACTGATAAATACACCCCACCCGAGAACAACTTTATTGGACACTACGTTTTAACAAAGGGCAATGATTATGCAATTAAGGAGTTTAAGGGCCATGGATTTGGTAGAGTGTAAATCATCTTAGTATGGCCAATATGTATATACCGAGATTCATTGTCCTTGTTTCAATAATATCAAAGTTATGATCCAGACACAGAACTCAAAAAGTGTAATAACTCTAATTATTCGGTTGAAGACCCTGAGTAAAAAAAACACTGCTCGTCCTCTTAGTTTGGCGAGTGTAGACACGTAGTTTAAACCAAAGTCAAGGTATGCTCTGGACAAAAAAATTATCAAAAGGGCAATGAGTAATAAGTAGTATATCCAGGATAAACAGCAAGCTTCATTATCCTAGCTGAAATGCATGCAAAGTTATGCTTCGGACACGAACATTTAACGAAGAACAATAATTCTTTAATCATGTGGTTGCATGCATTTACATTTAGCATGACAAGTATATAAACAGAGTTTCCTCATCCTAGTTTAATTTAACTGCACGCAAATTAAAGATATGCCTCGAAAAACGAAATTCTAACAATGGGTAAGGACTCTGTAATTAAAGGGTTCCAGATTATGGCTTTGATACATTGCACGTTGTCTCATTATCACAAATGCATAAATAAAGTGCCATTATCCTACTTTAATTAATACTAAATCCTTACTTAACAGATCAGGTTTAGGATGCAGATACGAAAGGACGAACGGGAAAAGCGGCAACTACATACGGGGTATATTTTCTGAACTGTGTCACTGTTACATTGAATCTAAACGTGCCAGGTAGGACGACCTGCGGTGTCTACCTACTGCCATCTCAAAGATTATACACAGGGAACACAAAAATTTACACCCCTTTACAATACAAATAAGAATAACAATTAATATGTCACACGTCAATGTTATGTTGGAATGACGTCAACAGGAAACAGATTAACTTGCAGTGGTGTTACTTTGCTACATGATCTCATTGTATGACCATGATATTTGTATTTTACCTTTCGGTTTTATTAAGCATTTAGAGATACCCGTTGGATGTGATAAATGCCAAAATTTAATTGTCTAGGGATACAAACTATGGATAAGTCGTATTTTTGAGCTTTAGATATGGTGTATTACGATTAATGTTCCCGGTATTTGCAGAATTAGGGTTTTTAAGAAAATAAATGACATCAAATAATACAAAAATTAACATCTAAAGATGGTTTCTTGACTTAGGGCCTTTATTAAAAAGGATTTAAAAATACAAAAGTTTGATATATATTAGGGCCGAGTAATGAATCAAACAGGAACATACGGCTGTTCCGTCCTTCCTGGGCTTATCAGTGATGCGCATGTTGACTCAGAGAAGTTTTCTGTCAATATAAAACACAGACATTATAGTAGTCATACTAATATTTCCTTTCACATTATTTACAAACATTTAAACTATAGAAAAATCCGTTCGTTCATTACGAACTGTATTTTGTCGCGTTGTAATGCGGTTCACATAACCTAGTGGCCACGTTGAGAGAAGTTGAGCTAGTTACATATTAGGAAGAATGTAAGAATTTGTTACACAATTATTAAATATGAAAATTAACTAAAACGAGTTACATAAACATCATAGAATAGAAATGATTTTAAATGATGTAAGAACTGAATGTGTAGACCACCATAAACATAAAATGTATTCAATTTGAATTATAATTGGAGTTGCCATAATCAGACTATTAGTGAAACAATAGTGCTTTAAATTGAAATATATCCTTTATAGACGTACATGAATTATTAGTTGATCCTCTACGAAACAACTTCAGATAACACAATTTACTAGGCTCACTCCTAAGACCACAATACAAAATAACTACAGAACATACTGGACCCACTCCTAACATTACACTACTAAATAACTACAGAATACACAACTTACAATGTCCTATCCGAAAATTACATTTTTTTTCTAACATTACACTACACAAAAAGTACGTATAACAGTATACTAGATTCTCTCCTGACTCAATAACTACAGATAACACAACTTGCTAGGCTCTTTCCTAACATTACAATACACAACTATATAAACTTCGGTCAACAAGAATGATAAGAATGTTTTAAATAGATTGATGTAAAATAAATAAAACACATATGTATATGAATGCCTGGGATACAGTGTCTGTCAACGATATTGTACCGTTGTCATTCATTTATGGTCTCCATTCTCTTGACCACCTTCGTGGCGTCAGGAAAGGTGTATTTCACCCGAAGGATATCCATGTACAAGGCATGGTAGTCTTGAGCAGAGGTCGCAAGTTGCCCTTGGCAGATCCTACATTGCCTACCAGCAATGTGACATTCATCTGTGTAAGAATTACCCTCATACTACACTGCTCGAAGTCAGTGTTCTGTTCTCCTCTGTCCTTGTGGTGCCCGTACATGTGACTATTGACCCATTTAGTCTGGGTAACACGTGCAACGCTAGTCAACATCCATAGTTTGTTCAGACGCTCCCATAACTGATCAATAACAGATTGGCTGATATTAAAAAGTGCAGCTACTTTCAATACATGTTTATCACTGTCCAGGTGGTGTTGTGTTATTTTGTTTATAACATGATCTGTGTTACAGACCTTATATTCAAAGTTTGAAACCTGGTATCACGTTTCTCAAGGCGCTTGGTTCGGTGAAGACGCTGCATTAACCGATAATAACGGAATGGTTATTATAAAAACGAGCAGCTATTGGTCTGTATGTCATATCATCTGGAAGCTTGCAAGAAGCTTGCCGTCTTTCAGCATTTGTCAATGTTCGAGTTGCCGTTTTCAAAATTACAGCATGAACACTTTATAAGATCTACTAGTAATCTATCTGCAAACGGTGCTTTGGATGGCAAAGCAAACTTGTGTTATCATAGAGCAAGGGGTATCCCGGAACATTTAATAATATCGTCAGCTGATAGTTAAAGGTTAGTAACAAGAGAGTCTTTCTTATCAATTTAGGGACGTGATTAAAGTCTATGGGGGTAAATTTGAACTATTATAACTTATATGTCCAGGCTTACCGAAAGCTCTCGATAACTGATATCCATCTTTGTGGAATGCAGAACTGTGCGTTATACGTTTTTTTTTTTTTAAATTTTTTTTTGTCTTAATTTTATACCAAACGCATTCTTAATCAATCTATTTTCTAAAAATCATTTTCAAGCAATTATCCTGCAGACTGTGAAGGTCACATGAATAATCGACAGGGCCAAATATGAAAACAATGTATGTTTTGGGGGCAAAATGCAACAATATAAATTCTTCATGTTTTTTCTAAAGAAAATTAAACATGAACATGTTGATAATAACAAGCTAGACATATATGCGAAGCAAGAAGTCACAGTTTTTTTAAACATTGGGAATAGGACATACAAATATGATTGACTTTGAGAAAGAACATGCTCTTTTTACATAAATCAAGATTTTCTGAAAGTCAAAAATACAACTTTCTATCCGAGTCCATCCTTAAATAAAAGTGCTAAAACATGTTCAAACAGTATAAAATAAATTGCCCACAAATAGTAATTTAGAGTTTTGTGGAAAGTAATTAAAATTGATTGACATTATTGCTATACATTTTTAAGGAGAAATCTGCTTTGAATTGATGCATTGTAAAATGAACTGAAATAAAATGTTTACACTTGATTTTATTAGTGCAAATGGAGTGTTATCTACACTAATAACTCACTAAAGTGAAATTTAAACTTTCAAAATAGCCGTCATGTTCCCTGATAACCAGAAAAAATTCAATTGCTGAATCAATATTCTAATAAGAATGCTAAATGATATATTTAAGTTGGGTTTATACATTTAACCACGTAATCTGGAATCCAGTAAGGCTTAATTGTCTTAGAATCTGATTGGCCATGTCAATGTTGGTATACATCGTACAATACATATATGGTTCGAATTATCCAATGTCGACCATACATTATGCCTTGAAGATGACGATTGGTAGCGTAGCGCAATCTACACCACTTGAGGTTGTCTTTAACCTTTTGACTTTTGGATGCAAAAGCTTACTTATTTCCAAACGCATGGAGTATCCTAAATAGTGCAGGATATTGCCTACGTAAGTACATACCTCCATGGTTCTCTGTCCATCAGGACACTGGCAATAATAATCATCTATGGAACTAATGGCGACGGATCTGTCATGCTGGATCCACACATTGTACTTTACACTGCTCTTATGCCTCCAGGGGATATGACGTCGTATAATGTCCCGTGAGTGCCGATATATCCAGATCTCGTAGTTACCATCATCTCTGAGGTGCTCAATTATATAGCCAGCTGACAATGGTATTTGGTATGTGCCAGATGTATGTGTTTCGTATGTAACTTTAGAAAGTCACAATGGTCTACAGTAACATCTTGTTTGACAAATAGTGACTTGGCCCTTCTGGTAAGATCTGACTCATTTTTAATTTGTTGTGAACACATAGGCGCTTTTCATTATAGCAGCCAGCGCCTTATTCTTTGCGACTGCTCTTGTGTTCGGAAATATACAAGTCCTCGGGTGTCCTTGAGACAAACTATTATTATTACGAGTGCCTAGATGACATCAATGAAATAGTTGGAGACAAGATGTGTTTTGAAAAACAGTCGTTTGAATCAAGTTTTAGATAAGTCGGCATAAATAAACTTTCCGCTTCTTCTGGCAACAGTAGGAGATTATTCTGGAGCCTGTGATCAGACCTTTTAGGAATAAAGATATATTTACCGTCAACTACGACAGTCGCCAGCTGGCCAAGAAATCCTTCTAAGAGCACGGTGTTGTGCTCCAAATATTTGTTCTTATGAGATGCTCATGTCCGAGTAATGCTAAAAAAAATTGATGATATTGGTATATATTGGGTATAGATGCTATCGGTCATATGATATATTGAATTGAACGTACTAATCATAATTGACAGATACACTGTTTCAAGGACCAGTCGGCATTACTTGTATGCGTGCAAGGGGCACATGTATACATGAAGGTTTTAGGTGTGACAGGGTGGTCTCATATACACAATAAGTTATTTGGGTGATGCACATCAAAGCCGAAAATGAACAATTTGCACAAATGGTAAAGTTTCGATCTTCTGATAGGGTTAGAGTAAGAGATAAAACTGTTTATAAGCTAAATACTTTTGTATGGACTGAATATAGTTTTGTGACAATTTGCGTTCGTAGTTTAGCAATTTTGTTACGTAACTAGTTCATAAGGCAATTGTGGATCAAAGGACTAAAGATAAAAATATATAAATTGAATTCATTTTCTTGCTTGGTTTATACTGGGTCAGGTACTAAATTGGTATTGGAAGGTATTCTTTTGTGTATATTTTGTACAATCCTTCCAAAATCATAACTTTGAAGAAACAGTGGCATTCTGACGCATGTTACTGCAATGAATGAAAAGGCCGTGAAAAACACGGGTGGTTAGATAATCACGCTCGCTATATCCATGGTGACGCATGGTGTCGCGCTAGTTTTCTGTGATAACAAAGTATAAAATCCACGAATCATTATACCTGTAGCAGAGTAGAATATGTCTTAGCATGACTGAGGTAGCACATCCTTGATAATATCAAATAGTAAGCACTGTTGTATTAGAAGAAGAAGCGTTAAACGACTATGGGTGGAATATCAAAACCCTACTTCACAGAAGTAGAAAGTAGTATTCTATTCACAACACAAGTAGTTTTGTCAGGAATTGCTGTGGTACTGAATGTGCTCTTATTGGTCGTCATCAGATCCAGCACCCAGCGTTATAACGCAACAGAGGTCCTGCAAATATGTAAAACATTTTTGGTTCTTCTCACTCTGCTTATCTGTATGCCACTTCAAATATTTACGATCCAGGGACGAAAGCAAAACAATATCTCTATCTGTCTCCTCAATGGTAAGTATTAACTTGTTTGTATGTTTGTACTATTCTTCTAATGCAGTGACGAACTTTAGTCCTAGAGCGTTGTAACAGTTCCCGCATACCACATTTGAATAGTGAATATCAAATGTACTTGACGTTCTATTATTTTGAAATCATCCTTTATTAGATATAATAGAAGCAATTGATTGTTGTTGAAATACACCTGTCTACCTATTTTGGCGTTTCTCAATAGCCCATTCCCCTAATGTTTAGGTTTTTACATTGCCGATGAGTCCAGAAATGATTCTTCGTTTGGATTATTTTCTGCGTCCATTTCTGAACTTGGTTTGATGGACGCTATTCATTTGAATAGGTTTTGTACAATAATTAAAAATGTTAAGCCTTCAATTGTAATTCATTAACCCTAATCATTTTTTTTCTTGATTGTTGCTGTTTTAGTGTCATATATTTACAGGAGACTTTTGATATATTCTTCATGTTAAAGAATCAGAAATGTGTTAAAATGTCTTGCAATATCAAAGTTAGTTTTTTTCTTTCGTTAATAGTATATGTGTATTTTTCATACCAAAAACTTATAAACACTTGCTATGCAACAATGCTAACTTGTCTTCAAAAAGAATCGAATCACATGACAGCACAACGAATACAGAATGTAAGAGAAATTATGAAAAAAAAAAAAAAAAAAAGATAAATTCTTCAATTAGACGACCTCCCATAAAATATATTTTTTTATAAACTCGACATGCGTTGAGTTTGTTTGGAGTAATGCATTACTTGATCATCTCCCCATCTCAAATAACTCTCCTCCTTTCCTTTTCTAACTTCTGAGTCTGTACATTTTTCATGTAAAAGTCATCCATTGGAATGTACGAGCTAACCTTCGATTTCCTGGTGTCCTTTGGTCAATTGATGTGGAAAAGGTAACACTCTAAAGTAACAAATGCAAGTGAATTTTGCAAAATGGACATAATCACTGAAAGAGCAATGATTCAGTGTTTGCATATACGTAATGTCTGGCACCTATGGATGCCCATACAGATAGGATAGCAGCACTAGTGGAATGATGCTACTGTGAAAAGGTAAATGGTAAAATTTAAGCGTGGCAGCTAGAGCCTTGGGGATGACGCCCGTCCTGGAAGACTTGTCACTGTTGCAACCCCGGAAATGGTCAATAAATTCGATGATAATATCATGGCTGACACGCGAATTATATATACATTTATTGCCTGAACAGTGCGGATTTCACAGGCTTTGCATTCTTACGAAGATCATGCAATGAGAAAGCTCTAAGTCTATTGGGTACCAAGAATTTTGACAGTTGATCAGAAGCACACCTGATGGACTTTGTTGCGTGCTAATCTTTACCGTTTGGAAGCAGATCCTCTTATTTTTCTGACTAGGTCTGTAACAATAGACAAAACGTTGGGCCATCATTTCATCCCAAAGACCAAACAACAGTCTTAACACTGGAAGCACTCTAGGTCACTGCCAAAAAAGGAACAGCCTGTTTCATCATCGGGGAAGGTTATGGCTTTAGTTTTCTGGGATGCTGATGGTATTTTGATGCAGATTTTTTGCATCAAGGACAAAAAATCAATGGCACATATTATACATCACCCCTTAGGCAGGTAAGCGAAAATATTAAAGGATTGTGGCATATTATTAATTGAGCACTGACCTCGCTCCATCAGACTTTCATCTATTTCCAAAATTGAAAAATTGCCATTTACGGTACCGACTTTCGGTCAGATGATGACGTCATATATGCAGTGGACGATCAGGAAAAATATTTCTTTAAAAGTGGCGTTGAAACCATCAAACATCGTGGCATAAGTGTCTAGATACTGATGCTCACAACCATCAATCAACCATCGTATATTATTTACAATTAACTGAATAACGGAATACCATTTTTTTTCATATGATAAAACGACAAGACCATTCCAATTTTGAACAATCTTCGAGATTGCAAGTGGTAGAGATTGCTGGTGGTAGAGATTGCTGGTGGTAGAGATTGCAGGTGGTAGAGATTGCTGATGGTAGAGATTGCTGGTTGATTTTGTAGTTATTGAGATCTGCCGTAACTGCTACATTTTAATTCATTCTGAAAAACGTCATGGTTCAGAGGTTACACATGTTCTTTTGAAATGATCAGAAACATGAAACTTACGAAGGTGCGGTTTCCAATAATGCTGCTTTGCCATAGAATTCGGCCTAAAGAGTTTTTACTCTTCGTGACCACTCGCCGTACATTTGTGCCATCAAAGTTGGTTCCCTTTGTCTTAAATTTAATCCAAATCAATAGATGACACTCTTGCCTAATTAACTAATTACGTAACTAAATTACTAAACTATGAACACCGATTATCACAAAACAGATAACAAAAAATAGAGGAAAATTCGAATCATTACAAAATATCAGAACACTACAACAGTGGTTATACGGCCGATATTATTGATTTTTTAAGCGTTTTGCGAGAAAAATAATCAATTATTAAAACAAATACCCTGGACATGCTCAACATCGACGTCGACCTACAACTAAACTTGATATATCCATAACTAAATCCACGGACGATTCAAGCCATGACTGTTTTTCAAAACAAAACTTGCAAAATGAAAGCGCCTTTGCGTTCACAACAACTTAGCTCAGCGTTTGAAAACTGAGTTAGATCTTAGCAAAAGTGCCACGCCACTATTTGTCTAACTAGATGCTAGTGCAGATAACTGTAACTTTCCAAAGTTAGACGTGGATTACCTTCAGACAATACCCTGTGGCACATACAAAATATCCTTGTCAGCTGGCTACATATGTTAACACCTCACTGATGATGATTTAATGCGTAATGACTTAAATCTATCATTTAGCATTCCTGTTAGAATATTGATTGAGCAGTTATAAGAACATTTAATTTTTTCGGGTTATCAGGGAACGTGACGGCTATTTTGAAATTTAAAATTTCACTTTACTGGGTTATTAGTGTAGGAAACAGACCCTTTGTACTTATAAAAATCAAGTGTAAACATTTTGTTTCGATTCACTTTACAAACCAGATTTTCCCATTTTGCTCATTTCCATAAAAAACAATATTGTCAATAAAATTTAATTTCTTTGCACAAACGTAATAATTACTATTTTTGGACAATTAATCTTATACTATCTGATGATGTTTTTAAGCACATAATTACGAATGAACTCCCACTGGAAGTTGTATTTTTGACCTTCAGAAAAATTCGCTTAATGTAAAAAGTGCAAGTTCTTTCTTAAAATCAATGACATTTGTATGACCTGTTCCCAATGTAATCAAAACTGACTTCTTGCTTATCAATGACGGGACCTAGAAGGACGAAACAGCTGTATGATGCAGTTAATTCGTGATTTTGTTCTACTGTCTCAGTCTTAATATGTATTGAAAGTTGTTATTTTTTTAGCCTTTTGTACAATCTTTGTATCAATAAATGTAATATCTTTCTTTTGTAGACTTCACGGAAAAACTCCTGTTTGATGCCTATCCATTTGTCATCATGGCGGTTGCAATTACCCGGTTAAGAGTTAGCATCTGTAAAGGAAATTCCACCGTTCTAGTAACAACGACGTCAGCTCTGGTAACATTTGCTCTTTGCCTCCTGCCTACATTAATATCGGGCACATTGGTGCTCGTTTTCCACTTCTACAAGGAAGGGTATCAACACGATGACGACAATGATGTTAAGAAAGGATACAGTTTTCACGAGTGCAGCAATAATGCTATGGCCAGAACCTACAGTGTGGTTTTATCAATAGCGTTAGGCATTATACCTGTTCTTGTCACCGTGTTTATGTATTATATGATTTGTTATAAAGTATCAGCTAGGAGATCAAAAATCAGTTTTGTCTCCACAAAACGCAGTCGCTGCAAAAGTGTTTTCAATGACGTTTACGACGCCAACATCAAAACTACAATGTTTTTACTAGTAATTTTGTTAACAACGTTCTGGTTTTCATACATTATTCTTGTCGTTTTCAACGTCTACAGTCCAAACAAGTTTAGTTTATTCTGTCTGATATTGTGGAAGCCAATAATACTTGCCATTCATCCACTTTCAGAAGGACTGTTCCTTGAAAACAAACGGCACAGAATCGTCAGGTTTTTTGCTGATATTACAGTCTGTAAACAGAACAAAAACAAGAAGGCGACGCCTGAAGTTGAAATTCAAACGAAATCTACATATATACGACATACATCTGTTAAACCTTTCTTTAATTCAGTCGAGTTGAAAAGCATTGAATCAACAGAAAATTCATCACACTATCAGAAAAGATACAGTACACAATCAATGGAACCACATGTCGACCTAAATGGTGAATTATTTGAGGAAAATATCACTCTATCGCCATATTTACATACTAGACGCACGGGCCAACCAAGGCCCCCAATGATCAGTATCATGCACCGCACATCTAGTCATAAATCTCCAATGTTTAGTGACCAAATCGAACTATCAGGACAGACATCCAAAAAGTCGAAGTCTTGCCTAAAGAAATCAACATCAAATTTTTCATTAAAGCGTTCTTCCTGCAACTCTTGTTATAACGGTAAAATGATTCAGGAATCTGTATCAGCAAAAGTGGTACAGTCTCCCTACGTACATTCTGTCAAATTTAAGTTTTAAGTAGAAATGTGTTTGCACACTTTTAAATACATTACAAAATTACCATATTTTATAAATCTATCATATACAGAATTAAATGTTTATATTTATGTTGTACGATAATATTTCATAAATAATCTACGTTTTTAGTCACCTGAGACAAAGACTAAACTATTGCGATCGCCTTTTGTCTGGCGTCATGCGTCATCTGTCGTCCATCTTAAAATTAATATTTTAATTAACAAACATTCTGCTGTAAGAAAAACAAACTTTATCAATGACTGTTATGACAATGAGTAATCATCTCAAAATATATTAAGACTACATTACGGAATATTCACTGATCTACACAGTTACGATATGGTACTATTCCTCAAGTTTCGATCACAATTTTGGACGCACCTTTGTAAGCTTTAAATACATACTAACTTTGCTCATCTGTCGGTTGACTTGTTTTTGTTCATACCAGGCTGAATTTAAAGAAAAGCTTATCTCATTGAAAAATATTTTATTTCTTCGTGCGATATGGAGCAGAACGTGTTTGATGTTCGTTATTTTGTATTGTTGTACATCATCTTCTCATTTTATAACGTGACATTACTTACTTGGACTGACCAAGATTTACATGACGAATTTTGCCGAAGAAGAAGAAGACGGTCACTAATCCGGAGCACCTGATCTTATTATTTTATTATTTACTTTTTTAGGAGTCTTCGTGTTCATATTTATCTTATTAATGTTTTTGCATTAGCTTCATTTGAATTTGAGTCTGGATTATGATTGTGTTGACATATTGGTATTTCTTGCTGTTTTCTTACTGAATGACACGAAAGGAAGCTGTATTTATGTTACGAATTATAGTATATCCATATTGCACACAACTTGTCTTTTTTATTTATCGTCCATTACTTTTAAATCATTGATCACGGGTTCGATTTGAGGCAATGCTTTTCATGCAACAGGATCTCTACTAAAATAACTATGACCTATGTATTACATTGTTCCGTAAACCAGAAATAAAATTAAAATTTTATCAACCAAAGTCATGGAAAACTAAGCAAACAAGACAACGGATAACATAATAAAGTAGCAAAAGAGGCGGAAACTTTGCTATAGGTAATACGATCTACAACTTATATGTAGTATATCAAAAATGTAAATACAGTCCTTGTGTATCAGGAGAGATAACACAGCAATATTTTATTGTGCCAAAGATCACTCAAAAGCCAAACAAGTGAATAGCAACTTTTGAGGAAAAAACATACAGTTGAGCCAAAATATGAAACTGAATTATACAGCTTTTTCCGCTTGTAGGACTCGATGATGAGCGTCAATCAGTGAACAAGAAAATAATTATGATAAAAGAAATACTCTTAAAGATACTCATCTCAGATTGTTAACTGCGATGTTCTTAAGCAGATAGAGTATCCGGAACCTCGACTTTTGATTCGATAGTATGCGGAGGGTCTCCTGCATGTTGCTCAATGATTAAGTTACCGCAATAATGACAAAACCCTGCCTAAATATGATCCTATTCCTATGGGCTATAACCACAAGAAACAACGTTACAAATCGTCAAGATAATATCGGTACACAAAAACACAAATTAACGATTTCATAAAATAAGTTATGGGCGATATTTTATTATGAAATATACAGAATTTTTTTTAGAACTTACGTTTTATAATGCTTTTTCTACGATCGAAGAAACACAAAGCGCATGCAGATGTTTGTACTGAATGTTGATATCATGTCAATTTTCAATAGATCAACGCTCTCAGCTCTCACTCATCCATACACCATACATACAATAACTCGTGCTCATGAAGATGAAATATTTCGTATAAGCGATTCATTTTTTAAACAAGAATTGGAATCTCCGAGATGTCATTAATTCTTTCAATTCAATCTTATCGTAAAAAATATAGCACTATACTTTAGTTGGAGTTCCTGTTGTAAATAGATTCGAGTAACACTAACATACGTCTTTAAGTGTATTTGATACAGCATCTAGTACGAAATCATGAGTATAAAACTATTTATTTTCATATCTATTCCATGAATATTTGGCCTATATCGTTTGTTATTTATGTCAAAAATTCCTTTAAAAATCTCTTTCACATCGCTGCCTTTTTGACTCAAAATAAGGTCATTATTCGCAAAACGATGAACATGAAATTTAGTATACTCTTCAACATTATTGCTATTGATATCAAATGTAAAAAAACAAACAACCGAAACAAGTAACTGTATTGGGATTAGCTGGAAAATTACATCTGACTGATAGGATAAGAGAAGAGAATGTAACGGTCACTCTGTTATTTAATCTTATTTCTCTGATCATATCTTAACTTGTGTAGTCCAAACAACCTGCCAACGTTATATATTCATATACTTATCTATATCTATAGCAACGGTTCTAATTATACAAGACTGAATTGAATTTTGAAAATGTAGGACTTTGTATATAAACCGTGGCATTTACATAATAAAGATAATAATGATAGTAGGTATATATATGATCTAAAGAAGTCTTCTAATGACCTACATTAAACTATTTCTTATATTGCCTATATCAATTTATAACTTGATTACTGCTTTTCCTACAACTCAATGTTAACATATATGTCGTCGTCCCACTTCAGAATTTTCCACTAAGTCATTCTTGTTTTTAGTTCGCTTTTCTTTCTTGTCCAAAGGGGCTCAGGGTTGCGATTATGACATTGACAAACCCGTCGCACCGACAGAAATTCAAAATCACTCATAATGGCACTTACGATGCCAATTTCTTTACATATGTTTTCACTGAAAGAATATTTCCAATACGTCATTAACAATGATTTTACAATATCGTGCCAAAGGGCTCCTGAATTTTAAATATCATTTGCTGGATCCGAATATATATCATCTAATTTGCATAAAAAGTCATTCAAAATAGACACCGTACACATGAGCGGTCGCTATTGTCGTAGCATTCCTGTAAGTGTATGTGGCAAAGTTGTCGGTGCTTGGGTTCCAAACGCACCTGCTCGCGACTTCCACTCCCTGATCTTTGTTTTCCATTATTACCACATTACAAACAAATTTATAGCGTGGGAATCCTAGCGCCTTTACCCGCTGATTTATCACATTTGATAGATCGGTGGTGAGGTTTTTAACAAACATTGCACGGTATTTAAAGTCACGAAGTCGGGCTTCTAAAATGTCTTTTATAATATTTTCTACTTTAGACGGTACAAACTTAGCACCATCAGCTGGCTCCAATCTGTATGTGTTTTCATATTGTATGGCAGGTTTTGATACTGCGTTCTGAGCTGCCCTTTTCTTAGCTAATCGTTGCCATGCCCTCGTAGCAGCAACCAATTTGAAAAAGTTCATTCCACTCGGCTTAGATGTGGTGACAGATTTTTGTGATTCACTGGTCGAGGTGAGTCGAGGTCGTCGCTCTTCCCCATCCTACAATATAGAAAAAAATAAGTTGTTAATCATGTAATATGTAAAGGATGTTGTAAGACTGGTCTATCTAAAAATGAGGAACCCAAACTGTCTTGATTGCTCATATACAGCCTTTGTCTTAAGGTTTCTCATACCAGTGGCGCATATTTGACGGTTTGACAGATGAACAATACACAATGTTTTATATATATATTGCATATACATTTTTATTGTTCAGAACACAGTATGTAAGTGTATAGCATTTCTTCACGAAACAGGAATTAACAAGCTGATATATTACTCAAACAATGTACAACGTGCGTGTTCAACAACAATAAATAGTTTATCTTTACATAGATTCCTATAGAGTGATCATTACTAGCTCAGTTTTACATCTTTATATAAGTTTAACTTTAAACACTCCTAAATAAACCATCGGGTTATTTTTTTTTATTGACAAATTAACAATGAAAAACATTATATACTATCTTCCATTTGGGATAACTAAAAATATTTTGTTTTAAATATTGTTAAATTCCTGCACTTTACTATTCGCTATTTAATGTGGCCGTTGCTTCTCGTACAAAGAATTAGATGACTTACTACTAGTAAAAGATGAAGAGATACATTTGCCTGATCTTTTTTAACATCTTAGGTATGCTTTAAAATTAATCACTATATCATATCAGGTTGACCGGGGACAACTATGGTAGGACAGGAAAGTGTCCCAGGCCCGCGTTATTTCTTGACAATACTACATTGCAAAGTGACAGTTAAGCCGCAGAAATAGCAGGAAATGACAAACGACGCAGGTGTCTTCATTTGTATAACAACATCCTACTTGTTTATAGTTGTCAGAGGTTTGTCGGCGATATTAAGAAATTATTGGGAACCGGCATTACAAAGGTGTGCTTTAAAAAGCTTTTTGGTTATGTGTGAATCTGAAGTAATTTTTGTGACATGCGTTCCAGAAAACAATGTAAGAGGCCAGGATATGGTTCAGTAATATCATATCTATCTTATATATCCTTAGTCAAAACCGACCAAGTATCAATAAATGGTTTCGGTAGCAGATTAGAAATTTGATGAAAATCTGCTGATAAATAAACATTAAAATGTGTCATATTGTAAATAGTCTAAACGATAGAGATGATTCACATAAAATAACCTCTCAAACTTATTTAAAGACTGCACAAAAGATACACAGGTGAATAGCAATATTTGATACAAATTTAAAATTAAGCATGGCTGAATATTTAATGAAACTTCTTCAGACAGTTGTAGAAGCTGTTAGTGATCCTATGGGCCTTAATTTTGATACCTCGGAGGCGACCATGGAAAATATCAAGTGAACGAAGGAAATATCAAATTCTGATAGATTTAGAACGAAGTGGAAATTTAACGGTGTGGGGCGTAAAATTAGGCGGTCACTTGAGACATGCTTTGCTGAGTCTTATTAGCATGGTCACATATAGGTTAATTTCTCTATAGTTTTATAGAGGTTCATACCTTTTTATAGCTTTATTTTACTACTTATTTGTGTTAAAAGATTTTCACTTATGTCGTTCTACCAAGATGGAATTCGTTTACCTGTTTACTGAATCAGGAATTACTGATTAGTCAGTAGCCATGTTCTCTCTTACTACATATTTGGCGAACTTCATATCATGAGATATTGTTTGGTCACTGGTACATAAATATACATTAATGATGCAAATCTGTGATTATCTTACCTTCCCTGTGCAGTGCACAGACTGCATGTTGTACATACATACAATACGCGTATGTGTGTTAGCAATGCTAGTTCACATTGATTTATCAGCTAATCAATATACATAGACGTTTATAAACATAAATAATCATCATTTAATGTAATTTATCTTATAGACAGTTAGTCGATTTAATAATGTCATGTATGAGAGGGCCACATATATGTGGCGAATATTAATGCGTCGCCATTTTATGTGTTAACTAATAGTTTTATGATATAAGAGGGAATAAATAATGTTAAAGTAGATGCATTTAATGTAATATTATATATATATAATTTATCTTCAGATAGATAGTAAATGTAACCTATGTGTAGTTTAGCTCAAACCCACACAGGATGGTGTAACCGAGAAGGACACCACTACCTCTGAGAAGATACAGTCAGATACATATATTCGGTAGTGATGTTTTCATTTATGGTCCTGTTAGACAGTGTTTGTACGATCATGTACCTGTAAATATCGTGGGAAAGGCTGAAAGCATCAGAATGTTGGCAGTTTAACCAGGGATTTCTCATAACAGAAAAGACAGCGCGTTTTTAGTGTTAGCATGGGATCCAGGCCGTGTCTATATCCACATAAAGTAACTGTTAACTTGTAGATCTCGTGCAATTAAAATATATTTCGGCAAAGAGTGTGCATATAATATAGTTGAATAATACCAAACAGACGTGTAGATGTTGTAGAATAAACAGTTTAGATATTGTATTAGTCTACACCACACTGGCATTTCGAAACTTGTCCATATCTATTTTAAGGTGGCGGTCTATTGGGAGGGAAAAAACTGCAGACTAGGTAAATAATGAAATAATGAATAGTTTTGATATTATGACGTCGTTGAGATCAGGAGCTTCCATAACTATTTGACACGAGTAGTTTTTCAGAGTAACATTTAGTATTATTTTCAGAATATTACTAGCTCTTAGTCACATCTTATATAATGATAAACTGATTAGTGAAGACATAGGCCTTGAGTGTGCAGAATTGATGGCGGTCGTCAAAGACGAGCAGGCAAGGGAAACAGATAGCGAGGAGCAACATATAGAGGGATATGTCAAGAGTAAGGAGTTTGAAAGGCTCTGTCAGCTGGAGGTACCGATTGGGGAGAAAGCCTATGGTAAGGAAAGGGTTGCACTGAAAGAAGGAGAAGTTTGAAACCAGAGAAGCTTTAGACCAATTTCTTGACACACACACATGGTCATCCCCGCTTTGAATCTCCACAAAGACATTGGAAACAACATAAACATACCTACATGTAAACTGAATCGTATTTTAAACTTAAACATGTTAATACGAGAGAGAAACTTAAATAACAAGAAATTCAAGGAGAAGAAGACATTAAAAGATGTTCAGGAAGGATAAACGCTCTCTGTTTCATTTTCTACAACTGCCATGTAAATCTTGGTCAATCCACGTGAGTAATATCGCGTTTGAAAATGAAGACAAACTTTACAACAACGAAGCCACGAGGTATATTAAGAGCATTGAAACGTGTAACTGCATACCATACAAGTACATATGTTTCTCTGGTTATGATAGACAGAATATTATAAAGGATTGTTAGTGAATTGTATTTTTAAATTTAGATATGCATTAAGCTACTTCTTTAAATTAAAAAGCAAATTACAACACGAATAAAACAATAATATCAATTATAGCACACAGAAATGACAAATTTCTAGAAAAAGGGATGCTTGATTATCTAACCAGTGCAAAGGAGGAAGGATTATCAGATGGATTTATGTCTTCATTTACCGAAGTCAATGTGTACCTACCGAGTCATTGAGACTGTCAACGTAATCATCATGGTTCACCAAATCATTCGAAGTGTCTAAAATTCTTCGTTGAAAATTAAGCATTGTGGCTATATAAATCAATTCCCTTGTGAACTAAATTCAAGATGTAATTTGTATAACTGTGGCCAAACGTCTCATTACATATAACATATACAGTAAGCATTGGGAGAGACAACAAATTGAATCACTACGTTGGTCTCATTGTCTTTAACATCTGTGTATGTAACCTCAATTCAAACTGAAGTCGTAATCACGTATCACAATTACAACGGATTTAAAGTTGTCGTTATATACCGGAGTGGTGTGTTCTCTGGCTGCAAGATGTTTCTTAAGTTGAATACATAGTATCAGTGTCAAGTTATATCAACGGGGTTTAATTTTTTCTGAAACATACAGCCATTTAAATCTCTAAGTCCCTTTATTCACAGCGTGCGAATTCTTATTATTTGTTATGTTTGCTGTTTGATATTTTGAACAGAAATTAAAGCCACAAACCGCACACATGTTATATCTATAATACATATACAATTGAGAAACATATAAGTATGCAAGGACTGGGGAGTTAGCTGTAGTGTTATGTTAGAAACGATGAAAGAAATTAGAAAAGTTGTTATAAAAACGTATTCTCACTCACTAACCCCCCCCCCCCCAAACACCACAGACAAACCTTTCTTCTGAATATAAAAAAAATTGACCTTTCGTTATTTATCGCATCAAATTATTCATGTTAATTTAGACAAGTCCAGTGTTGATAACAGCACAGCTGGAAAACAATAGGTGACCATACGTGGTCTGTTTAATATGTGATACAGGAAAAGAGCTCTTATACAAAGAAGGGTAGCAAAACGTAATTGGTAACATAGGTTTTTGAACAAATAAATAACTACATTATTTACGGCTTTTTGCACAATGAGTAATACAACTTAAATTATATGAACTCCAAAATGTAAATAAAACTTAGAAACAACAAGGTAAGTAACCCGAACTGCCGTCAAACGTCTCATTACATATATCATATACAATAAGTATAGAGAGACAACAAACTGGATCACTACGTTGGTCTCATTGTTTTTAACATCTGTGTATGTAACCTCAATTCAAACTGAAGTCATAATCACGTATCACAATTACAACGGATTTAAAGTTGTCGTTATATACTGGAGTCTTGTATTCCCTGGCTACAAGGTGGTTTCTTGAATTGAATACATAGTATCAGTGTCAAGTTATATCAACGGGGTTTAATTTTTTCCGAAACATACAGTCATTTAAATCTCTAAGTCCCTTTATTCACAGCGTGCGAATTCTTATCATTTGTTATGTTTGCTGTTTGATATTTTTAACAGAAACTAATGCCACGAACCTCACACATGTTATATCTATAATACATTTACAATACATAAACATATAAATATGCACGGACAGGGGAGTTAGCTCTAGTGTTATGTTTGTGGAATTCTCAAGGAACGAGATTGGAAAAGTTGTTATAAAAATGTCTGTAAAAAGAAACGTGTTTTCACTCACTGCCCCCCAAACACCGCAGACAAACCTTTTTCTGAATATAAAAAATTGACCTTTCGTTATTTATCGCATCAAATTATTCATGTTAATTTAGACAAGTCCAGTGTTGATAACAGCACAGCTGGAAAACAATAGGTGACCATACGTGGTCTGTTTAATATGTGATACAGGAAAAGGTTTTTAAACAAATAAATAGCTACATTATTTACGGCTTTTTACTACTCTGTATGGATGGTCCAACCCATGCTTAATTTATCATGTGATGTTACAGAACGATAACTACAAAAATACATAAATAATGTGTTGTGAAATATGCAATGTTCACAATTCCTTTGTATTTTCCCTAACATGTTTACAAGTACGAATATATATATTTGATTATAGTTATTACTATAGTTATCCATACTATGTAATCACCCAAACCTGTAGGTAGTGGATTAATGTATGGAAAGATTTAAAGTACAAAAATACATTGAAAGAATGCTTCATTACGAGATAGCTTAATAGCGTAAGATTGCTTAGATGATACGAAATCCAAAATTTAAATAAAACTTAGAAACAACAAGGTAAGTTACTAAACTTCAACTGAGACCTCATCACAGGTAAGTATCTGAATACAAATTTTATGCATAGAAAAAGTTTTAATCTAAATGAGAGTTTGCATCATACAGTTTGACATATAAATGTACAACGTCACCCAGCAAAGCAGCGTCATTAAAAAGAATACTATACTACCATACCACATGAGTCACACAAGGATCCTCGATGCTAGAGTGTTCCTTTATCCTGTATGTAAATTTCATAATCATATCCTCAATGTCAGTATTTTACATTAGGTTCATTAAACTGCAATCTTTTGAATATGGAGAGTGACAAAACTTGCATTCAGCTACAAAAACCACAAAAGAATATATATTCAATGCTCAGAACAAAAGTGATATCCTGTATTGTGTCTTGCAAGTTTGGACTTGTTAATTTGAAAGCAAAGTTTCAATAAAAGCTGAACCAAGGAATTAAACGGCTTCCAAACATATATAACTCGAGAACGAAAAATAGCATCGAGGTAAAAGTTGAAAGATAGATATGAGGTGTAGTAGCGCCTGAGAGAGTTGGTAAAATGTTTGTGGTAACTTTTAACTGAATCGCAATTTCGTGCCTTTTAGATATATTTTCTCGTTGTATTCTAACTTCCTTGTTGTACGAATCCGTTTTTCATCCCAGTAAACCGAGGTCATAAAGCGACATTTGCCGGAAACCAAATTACAAATACAACCGCGTTCAAACCTGGTTTTGTGTGTGTTTTACAGCTTCGTCACCTTGTCAGGTGCACTTATTTACCATCGTTAGCGACGATCTGTATTATCATAAAACACGCGTACCACTCATTAGAAAACAAAAGATTTATAAAAAAAAAAAAGGCTTAAAACAACATCCAAACAAAACATGGTTTAGCGGGGTTATTTTCACAACATCGTCACCTCACCAGGTGCAGCGTATTATCACATAAAATGCATACAGAAAACAAACATGACATTATTAGTTAAAATCAGACTTTCATACGGGAACCAAAAACATATCTGCACCAGCGCCTTACTAACAGATAAGCACTAACACACAATCCATCGGATGGGACATAAAATGGAGGCTCGTGTGAGAATGTCTACCTCGTACGATAAAGGTTCTTCTGCAGTTCTTCGAAAAAGAGCAGGCTAGATAACGATGATCCAGCGGTTAGGGTTAAATAAGCAACAGGGACTATTCATTAAGTAATTTTGACAGACTTATCGAAACTCATATAGTGTACGACCCCCTTCCTCTTCCTCTCTGTCCTTAATCGATCATCTAGCTGTGACTGGTTAAGCTAGAGATATAATAAGGTCAAAGGGGCCTTCTTCAAACTTACAGTTAAAACAGGTCGGGTACTATAGATGGCCCCTCTCTACCTCATCTAAGTATCCCACTCTCTCCCATCACGTCATACTATTTCCTCTCGACTCATTTTCCTAACTTTTCTTGGCCGCAAAAAGGCCGTAAGTGGACGCAAAAACCCGTTAGAGAAATAATAATAAAAAATTAGAATAGGAAAAAAAAAAAAAAAAAAACAGAAAAAAGTCGAGCGAAATTGAAATGCAGTAGATTCGACCCATTATATCGAAAAAAGAATCCGTGTAATTTGTTTCCACTAATATTTTATGAGTTTCGAGCAATTTCATGTACAAACATTCATTTTCTTGTGATAATTACTTTGGCTTTGAAAAGATACCTAGTTAGCAAAAAAGTGTGTTGAAAGCATGCCCAACACCGTCTTGAGTCCAATACCGTCTTGAAATATCCTCTGGTTTCTGTATCTAACATGCATGATTTTTATTGAAATGTGTCATTAAAATGTAGTTCTCTGTGGATACTGTATCTTATATATATATATATGTGCCATTATAATTTTTACCAATTCGCATCAACATCAACTCATTATATAAACATGCTGACTTTACCTCTTTCTTTTCCTTGGTTGAAGAAGTGTGTGTTGCGGGACCCTTTGGAGCCTTAAATTTTGGTTGTACTCTGTCATGATCCATTAACGCCTGCATGGTTAGTTGTTTTTCTGTTGCCATGACGATGTCGTATCACGCAATGGCACCTGGAAAATTGAAATGATACTGTTAGTGACTGAATTCTTAAATTTGACCTGCTTAATCTCATAGGATGCCCTTTTTCATCGATACCAAAGATTTCATTGACCACTACAGCGATTGCTTAAACATGACATGCATTGTTATTGCATGACACTGGGTTACTAAGTAAATTCGCTTTTGTGCACGCAATGATGAAGTAAGGTTATGTTAATATCATTGTGCTTACCTCCAGATGCCTTAACCTAGTGCATACGTAATGTTTTATAACTTTATCTTGTACCTCTATAATAGATGATATTTTGACTTGGTACTATGTGATATGTATATCTCGACGTGATGCGTTATATCTCGACGTGATGCATGTGTATATCTCGACCTTGTACATATATCGATGTTTATATTATATATCGACTTAATACATATATCACAATCTTTATCTCGACTTTGCACATATATCGATGTTTACATATCGATTTAATGCATATTTCATATTATATATCTCGACCTGGTACATAGATCGAAGTGTATAGATCGACTTAGTATATATGTCACAATCTTTATCTTTACATGTTCTGTCCCAACTTTGTATATACACGTATGTAATATATAATAGTTTTTGTCCCCATGCTGCTGACTGGTATAAAAGGCCTTTGTGAGCTATATTCTTATCACGTTTTGGTCGTCCCACTCAGTGTTGTTATCTCCAGAAAGTTATGTCTGAATATGATCCCGTATGCATGTGACTTTGTATCTATAATCTATTACATAACGACAAAATCAGTGCATTGCTGTCGATTCCTGTCACCGTTATTTGCATATCGTCCGTGGTGGGATTTTAATCTTAAGTTCAAATTTACTTCTCACGCCTATTTTCCTTAACTCTCTTTACTTTTTCGCGCATTTCACAAAATAAGTGCGCCCAAACAAGAATACAAATTGAGCCGACTCTGTGCCTTAAATTGTATGAAAGACACTGGTGAAAAGAAAATTTACATGTGAGGGTTGTTAGAGGAACCGTGAATGGTAATAAGAATGAAACTTATTTTCGTCCTTTCAGAACTTCCCAAAGATTCACAAAGTTAACTTCATTGTTTAGTGATCATGTATCTAACTATAAATTTGTATTAAAAGGTGCTACTCACTTGTGTGTCTTTTGTACAATATTCAAGATGTCAAAGTTACGGATAAACAAATGGGAAAAACAGAGAAAATCTCAATCGGCCTCGACATGCGAAGAAACGGAGGTCCAATTAACCAACAATTAATTTTTAGAATTCAAATGAGGTTTAAGTCTCTAACTCCTTTAATTTGTCGAGTTCTTGGATATTACTGTTACACGACACTTTTAATCTATATGCGTCAACATGTCCGTTGATTTGAAATCAAATCTAATTAAAAAATGTAAACCATCTCTTTTGTAGTTACGTTGTTTTCATCACGTACGTCGCCCTTTAAAAAACTTGTTTGCAAAGTACATTATAGTACAAAGGAATTGTTACTGATCAGTCACACTCTAAAGGTATATATATGATATTTCGTTCGATATACTTGTGTCTAGCAATATATTAGCCATTTATTTCGACCATTAATAATTCGTAACTCACTACCAGTTATCAGATCGGCCGCCTAGTATTACGTATGAGGTTCAAAAGATGCAGGTTGAAAATTATGGGGAAGTTTTATGGTCGCCGTCGTAATCTCATTGAGACATTTCCTATTTCTTTATGTGATATGAAGATGGACGTTTTGATGCTCGTTATATTGCCTGTTGGTTCCGTTGTTTTCATTTAAGACTGTGACATTACTTACTAGGATTGACCAAAATTTTCGTCGCAGACGCTTACTCTCTATATTCTCCTTGTACTTTTTCAGGGGTCTCTGTGTAAATAATTCTCTTGTTCATACTTTGCCCTAGTTTTCTGCAATTCCAGTTAGGATTATGATCATGTTGCCATGTTGGTATTTTCTTGATGTTTTTGACATTATCTTCCTCGTTAAGAACCCAACTACTCCTGCAAACACTTGCTTACAATTTAACAAAGTGTAACTTTCTATATTTCATAATGGGTTTTTTTCCCGGTAGCGTGACATTTGACAACTTACTACTCTAAGGCCCTCTGTTTTAAACTTTGTATATTATCTTGTTTCGATCTTTTTGAATTTATATATCATTGATTGCTATTTAAGATATAGTAGATATAGATGTAAATCTTGTCTCTCTTTTTCTACCAAGTCAGGTGAAACCTGGTGAACACATACACACATTAAAAAAATAAATTTGTGTAGACCTCGTAATCAACATTGACATATTTTTCTAGCAAACTTACTGGAAAACATTTGTATATTTTATATTAAAACATTGTCAGTGTAGTCTCTTGTGTACTTTTGACTGTTTTTGTTTTTGTTTTCCCCATGTGACATGAAATTACATTCGGAAAGTATTCATGTCTTCTACTTTATATATTTCAATTTACTTCACCAACAGATATAGTTTACCGAACCCATTCCCTCTCTGGTGAACAATATCACTCTGTTATTTAAATACCCTAGTTTGTGATCAATGGTGGACGACGTCGACCTGCCAAAGTGTTTTCAGAAGTGCTATGAAAGTTTTAAATCATCTCAAGATATGAATACTTTACTGTACTCTTAAACTCTGCCCTTCGCAGTGTTATTTACTTCATACTCCTAGTTATATGTTTAAATTTCATATATCCTTATTTATTTGTAGACTCAGTAGAAAGTGTATTTGCTTTAAACAAAACATCTAGAGCTACAATACATCAATGTAGCAGATAACTTTATTTATAGGGTGAGGTAGCTCTCAGCGTGTTACCTACCACCACGGATTCAGTGTGTGTGATAAATATCCGATATTTACATACATGTACTTGAATATGTCAAAGTATCAAATGATCGAGCCTGTTGAGTTTCAAGCTCGTGACTCGAATTTGAATTAACATAGCATAAACTGATCCTAACGGCTAGTTTCTGTCAACTGTTTTTGGAACCTTAGAGTATACACAGTCAACCCATGGACACGATGTTATGTAATCGAAATTCTAACTCTATTCCATTAAAACAATTCTATTATGTATAAAAATTGTTTCGTAAATATGTATATAGCATTGATAAATGTGTAAATTTAAATAACATTTTTGGTGTACGTTTCCACTTATTTCATTCTCAACATTCGTTACATTGTACAAAAACATGCAACTAAGTAGCAATTTTAGAAGTAGATATAGTAGAGCTAAAAAATGAATTCAACATCATCACAACTACTTTGTCCTTCTTTGTCTCGTCAGTGATACTAAGGATCTAAATTTTGAAACCTAGGAGGTGAAAGAGGAAAATAAAAAATTGAAATGTCGAAATCTAGATGTAAGGTGCATTACACGAATACATTTTGCAATTTTTATATTTCTGATAATTTCAACAGGATGTCCACTACGTGTATTTTTCTTTATTTATGCTATCATCAGAATGGATTAAATGTTACATCGCCGAGGAGTTAGAGGATGAAATACTTATACTGATACAATAGTGTGTTATTCTAATTCACGTCGGAAACATCCTAAAACAACTAACATAGAAGTACAGTTTTTCTTATCATATCTAATTTATTTAAAACACTGTAATAAAAGAACGCGTACATCGGATGGAAACGATAAAAATGATTATATATCAAATATGTTTCTTTAAACTCCAAAGTAGAAAGATTATCCCAAAAATCCCAGCACCTGTAGCAACCGGTATAAACATCGTTTCATTAAAAAGCTTTTTCTGTGGACTGAAAACGTTTATATTTCAGCTTCACAATAGCCGCCATTACAATACCAGTGAAAACAAGAAGACAAACCATTAACGTCATTATACACAAGAACAGGTAAACATCAAAGTGTTATATAATCAAGGAACCGTGGAAAAGTTGTGGAAAAAAAACTTACTCGATTCATTCATGCAGAAACTAAAGGAAACCTCCTTGCTTGTCATAGAAGAGTCTGCTCTTTTTGATGTGAGAGTGAGTTTACTTCTAATAAAATATCATTGGGCCATCATATGGGTCAGGAGTATTGTAAGTTTTCAGACAAAATCAGTTCTACTATGATGCAAAGAACTAGTTCTGAAACTCTAAGAAAATTCTATTCTTTATAATCGGTTACAATAACCCCGAGGGAGATACGCTATTATCATAATGATAAATAATATCCCTTTAAATATGAACATCTCAGGAAATCTATCGACTGTTTACAACCCCGAATAACGAAAATCTGGTCCCTGTCAACGGATATACTAGTTCACGTCAATTCACAATTGTTCCGTACGGAAGCGTATTCCGGCCACGTTGTGTTTTATTTTAACTCGAAAATTTGAGATAGTAACTCGAAATTTTGAGTTAGTAAGTCGAAATTTCGAGTGGTTATCTCGAAATTTCGGGTTAATATATAAAAATTTCTATTACTCGAAATTTCGACTTACTAACTCAAAATTTCGGATTACTAACTCGAAATTTCGAGTTACTAACTCGAAATTTCGAGTTGCTATCTCGAAATTTTGAGATAAAATAAAACACAACGTGGCCGGAATACACTTCCGTAGTTCCACATTACCAGGCACACATTAAACAATATTTCAAACCGCAAATAGAAGTAAACATATCGACTTGATGTCTCTTCTTTCTGTATTTGTAAACTTTGACACTTGTATTACAATAAAGGTATTCGCTATTCTTGTTTGTTCTTGTTGTTGACATGGCTGTCAAAAATTTTAAATGGAAAATAATTTTGTTTTACAAAACTGTTAAAGATAATATAATTTAAATTTCTGATTTCGAAATTGTCAAGCTTACTGGTTATTTTATCAATACAAGGTCAGGTTATTCATTAGACGTGATATGTGTGTTTAATCACTTAAAATTACAGCAAGATGAAAATGCCTAGTTTATTTTACTGTATTCATAAAGACTTTAAAATACA